AAGACATTAACACAAGGAATATATAAGAATAACGTCACACACGACTCTATTCAATGACTATTTTTACTATTTATCAAATTTATATAAGGAATAGGATAATAAAATAAAGTAACACGAAGGTCAAGTAAGACCATTATTTGTAGGACGTGTGTATCTGATATAAGAGTTATTTCACATAATCATTGGTAAATAAGAAGAACGTTTCACATGAACAGAAGGGGAAAATAAGTCTTTCATTCGAACATGCTATCACAGTGGGAGAATCATTGGTCATGTAAAAAATTTGCCTTTTTATAAAAGCAAAAAAAAACATTTGCACAAGATTTATTGTCGGTTAATTTGGGAATTTTATTTTTTGTAAGGAAAAAAAACTCTAAGAAGATTAATGATTATAGAAAATTATTAACGTCAAATATAAAAACACTTAATTTATGGATGATTTCCAAGAAGCTAGAGAACTAATTCCCATCTATGATGCACATATTGAAATATTGGAAAAGGATTCATAATTCAAGGGTTATTCTTATTGTGTGTTCATAATATTGAACGTAATCTTATGTTATATTGAGAAGAACTTAAATGTAATTTAATAAGGAGCACACGTATCATCATCAGGTTTCAATACTTCTTACTTTTAGTTATGATGTGTTAAAGTGTTTATTTTTACTTCATATATGTGTGTGTATAAGAGCTACCAGGAAGATAAAATGATGGTTTATCGGGTGTGCATAATGACATCAGATGTAGTGTGTAATTTTTGACATGATGTATATAATAAGTTTCTTAGAACTAAAATGAATGGATAAATATCAAACAAATAAATGATGATGAACAATTAGCTTATGAATGCAAAGTTTAAAAATTAATGTTTGTGATAATATTCAAAAAAATTAAAAAAAAAATTACAAAAGTCCTCGTGTTATTGATCGATTATAGTATTAATACACTGTTTTAAGACTTTTAACTGTTCGATCGGCCAATAAATCAATAGTAACGGAGCTAACAAAACAAACCTGAGCTCTCTACGATGTCTGGTTAAAAAGTTTTTCTTCAGACGAACGAACGAACAAAGTGCATTATAAAGCTCCCTTTTTGTAAACAAGTATACAAAAATGTGCTAAAAACCCTCAAAAACTTCGAAATTTCGGAATTTTTAAAATTTTAAAAATTGTTGCAATGATTTTGATAATATTTTGGAGATCAAAAACCTTTAAAGTTTTGAATTTTTAAAACCTATTTTTAAAAGACACCTTCTTTGTAAACTACTAATGGCATAGTCATAGAAATCTTAAAAATTGTTGATTAAAATCGAACGTAGGAAGTGCTTAGATGATTTTCTAAGAATAGTTTTAAACTGATTTAAAGCTTGTCATATTTTAAAGAAACATTAACAAGCTATATTAAAATTTAAAACTATGATGTGAAGAGATTAGTACTTAAATGAATTGCCTCAAACTAAATATTAAACGAGCATTCTGAAATTTCATTCATTTTAAAAACTTTAGAAGCAGTGTTTATTAAGACGAACTATAAGAAGAGTGTATCTAAAGCAGTAGAAAAGACTCTTATGTAATGGAAATTAATTTTCGTCGCAGGAATTTAAAACTATGTATCAAGTATCATTATAATATGTTTGTTTACATAAAAAAAAAATTGCAGTGGAATAAAGTTTAGAAATGAAGACAAACAAGAAACTTTTTTCCGCATCGCTTTCACTTAGAAGTTGAAAAGAATTTCTTTTTGTTTCCATACTGAGTAAAAAATAACATATTTAACACTTTGTCGCTGAAATGCTGTGTGAAATTTTTCTTCCATTCATCATACTTTACATACATGTAGAGGACTTAAAGTTTTACTTTTTGCGATTGCTTCCAACTACTCTCTTCATGCAATGAAAATTTATGCGACAGAATAGTTCAGAGGATGGAAAACTTTTTCTCACGGGAATCATTCTACATATATGCATACATGAATATGAAAAGTTTTTATTCGATACTTTATTACAGTAGCAAGATATATAAGTATAAACAATCTCCTCTACTTAGTGTATGCTATGCTGTACTATTATGCAACTCGATGAGCATGTGACTGTAAACACAAACTATTAATTTTTAAGTTTTAAACAATTTTAATGAATTAAAGTGTGCACTTTAATCTTTTTGTGAGTTATTATTTAACGTCAAGAAAAGTAGTTGTAGCTCATAAATCTTTTTAAAAATTAGAAACTAAACTTGAGGAATTACGTAGGTTTCAACTGATACACGTGTGTATTGAATATTTTATCTACAGTTTAATTTTGATTCTCATCAGCTCCAGTCTTTTCATGTTAATTATCTCCTTTTTTATGTTATCATTCGAAAATTTCTATGGCAACAGCAAAACTCTATATTTTGATTGATTATACGAGCGCTGAATTTTAATTTTACGTCCTCGAAAATGTAGCAAATTTGCCTTTGTGTAGAAGATCCTTATGATAGGATTATAATGATGATAATGAAAACAAAAAACAATATGCCTTTGATATGTATCTATTGTGGATATACTTAGTAATACAATGTTATGCATAAGCTTTATTCAAATAGATTACAATAAAACTTTACATTATTGCTACAGAATCATGTAAATAATTATAATAATCCCTTGCAAAGTCTCTATGGAATAATATTGTATAAAGATATTCATACTCAATATTGGCTCTGCTTGATAAACATCACTATAAAGATTTCTATAGAAAAATAAAGTTCTCGTGTTAATTGTTGTCTGATATTAATTAGCAACTTTTATCTGACTCATTTCGCAATCATGTTATCCACAACTACATTCTTCTTCTTATTTGTTTGACATGTTAGGGGCTGTTCACTTATTACGTAACGCGAAAAAATGACTTTTTAGACCCCCCCCCCTCGTAACAAAATTTGTATGAAAAAAAAATTTCCTTGTTTGAACCGTAACAAAATCTTAGACCCCCCTCACCCCCTAAAAGCGTTACGTAATAAGTGAATGGTCCCTTAGCTTATTTAAAGGAGTTTCACTTAAAACTCAAACATTATATCAAAGCTACTTTACCTACTTTATTTTATATCAAGCAAGCTTTTCCCACTACCGCAAAAAATAATTGCAAGAAACTTTAACATACAATTGATTAATTTAGATTAATTTTTTTCACAGGTCGTAAAATAATCAATAAGTGTCTAAAATGAAGAACTAGCTATAAATTACATAACATAATGAAAATAAATAAACACGTGTATTAAGATAGCAATAAAACTAAACAAATTTCCATAAGAGATAAGACTCTTGTAAATAATATTAATTTAGAATTTTATTTTAAGCAAGAAAATGTAATTCTCGTGATAAAAGATAATATTAATTATGAAAAGTGATCATGATTGCTTCAAATCACGATATTCCCATCGCGGATGAGACATGAGGCTCTAAATAAAGACAAAACAATTCCCATACTAACATGTACACAATACAAATGATAAGTTAAGTATACGATTGTAGCATAAATTTCCAAGAGAGTCATGAAACAGAAAATCATTTGTTATTCATAAGCATATTTGATTCATTTCTCTTCATAATATATCTGTTCTCGTCTCAGTCTGAAAATGTGATTTTAGAATTCAAAAATTTTTGTAGCAAGGACATGTATTGAGTTCATGAGTGAATTAGAGTATAAACATTAGGTTTTTATTACTTTTTCTTCAACGAAATACATGCATATTTGGGCTTATGCAGGTTAACTGTGACGTTCTCGAGGTATTATAGGTGATAGAAAGTATCGTGGTTTTGGGTTGTGTGTATCATTTTTCTATAAACTTTTAAGGCGTTACACTATATCTAAACAAACCCCTGTTGTCCTTTGTTCAAGAAAATAAAAAATAGTCAAAGGAGATAAGAACACGTTTCGAGGTGAAAAAGCTTAGAGTTTTAAACGTTAAATCATCGTCATTAACCCCCCGCTAGTCGACACGAAATAGATAGTATTCTTAAGGCGATGGTTGGAAAGCGAATAAAAATGAAAAATAATTGTTTTTGTTAGAATTTAGTATACACTTACTGTCCTAGCCGTAAGAGAGTCAAACAGAGTTCAGTGATGTAAATTTTTCGCGCGATGTGATATCGTCATCATCATATTACACACCACTATGCGTCGACATAGAATTGAAATTTATTTTCCCTTCCTTCATGCCGTTTATATTGCGATAAAATACAATTTCCATTGTTATAGTAAGCGCAAAGGATGTAGATGGAATGCGGGGAAATAAGAAAAGAAGAAATGTTGTTTGACGAGGCAATTCAATAATTTTCAATTTACAAAATCCCTAATCGAAACGCTGTTGATCGAGGAGTCTATTTTTGAGATTTTAATGTAGTGATAAGAGTAATTCAATATTTTTTTGTGTACCGTACCATGTTATATCTTTATTGTCAATGTAAATTTAATTTAAATTTTATAGTTGAAATTTATTGAGTAATAATTGAATCGCATAAAGATTTATAAGCTACAAATTCACGTTAGAAACGTTTCATGTTTAAATCTATTCGATATTATTGTAGTTTATGACAGCATTTTTGGGACATTTTTATTTTTCCATAGTCCAAAACTTGCTGTATAATTGGAGAATATGTTTTGATTGAGTAAAGTCAGTTTTGTTGAAAGTCAGAGAACTAAGGAGATTCTAAATGTAATAATCACATCCGTGCGTTGAAATCTCTATACAAAAATAAATGATAACTGAAACAAAGAATCTGAAAAATGATTCAAAACGCTTGAATAGTTACAGAAACATGTGGTGGGTTTTAAAGGAATAAAAATATATATTTTACTAGCTTATTAATTACAAAATTGGAGAACATGTTGTCGACGGAATTAACTTTTGTGACATAAATCCAAAAATAACTGTTTAAATTTATATTGCATTAATATTAATTCTCGGCATAAAGTAACGATCGTTTTAAATTTAAATTCATATTTGTTTACCAAATTTTGTTATAAAAATTGTAAAAATGTTTTTCGAGGAAAATTCAGTGATTGAGGACAAAGCAAAGAAAGATTTTGATCAATTGGATGCTGAATTAATTGATAAGTTTAGAAAGAATGAAATAAACGTGGATGAGATTGTTAAAAACTTGGAAAAGATATATAAAGGTATGTTTTTTAAAAAAATTTTTTGAAAAAATTTTAATTATTTTGTTATTAACAAATAGACGAAATTCTTGAATGCAGCGATAAGAACTGTCCATCAGATGATCAAATTTTCGCACAATGCTATCATCAATTAGTCCATTCAAGCTCTTTACAAGAGATTCTAGTAAAAGAACAAGATTACGCCCCAAAAATATCAAGCTTAGTATTGAAAATGGAAAAGGAGCTTTCGTCGTTGAATGAGATGCATCAAGAAGTTATGGATACAAAGATAAATTTACTAGACGTAGAAACAACACCTGATGACATTAATGATTTATTAAAACAGCAGTATAGTTCATCAAATTTAATGAGAAAGCAGTTCGAATCAGAACTTGAGGCTAAAAGAGGACATCAAAAGAATGAATATCGTGAATGGGTCACATCTCGAATGAGTCAAAAGTTTCTCGATTCACCAACTACTGCTATTGGAAATAAATCTTCAATGTTTCCAAATATTCACAAAACTGCAGATCGTCGAGAAGAGTCTTTTACTATCCATTTGGGATCACAACTAAAGTCTACACATAACATTAGAATATTATCTGCAGATATAATAGATTTATGTAGCCCTTTAGTCAATGAAAATAGCGAATCAATGATTAATGGAAATATACAACTTGGGATTTATTCAAGCTCGTTATGTGGCGTAGTTTGTTTGGTTCCTTCAGCTTCAGCTTTTCAAGTTATGGCAAATCAAAAAATTATAAGGAATGCGTCTCTTTCAACAGAATTTCATTTTTCCCAAATTGACGAGCAGTTGGACCAAATTCAGCATGACTTGAAATCAAGTGGCGAGACTCGATTAAAACCTGGCGATTTCTTTATCACAAAACATTCCAATTTATCCCAATGCCACTTAATTTTCCATCTAGTCTGTGATGATTCAACAAATGAGATGAATTCAAGACATCCTTGTATAATGGGATTAAGAAGTATCCTGAAAGTAGCAAATCGTTACGACTGTACGCAACTTACAATTCCAGCTCTTCTAAAAAATGAAATGTCAGAGGAAATGACGTTATCTTGGTGTATGCGTCGTGCTGAACTTGTTTTGAAGTGTACTAAAGGTTTCATGATAGAATCATCATCCACGGGAAGCGAGCTAAGTACATTGCAATTATTACTACCAGCAGACATTTCTGAAGAATTATTTACGTCCATTTCACAAATGATTCCATCAATATTTAGAGTCGCAAACACAAAGTTTCTTTAAAATGATCTATGGCTATTTGATCGAATCTCTACTGTGCTATGTCTTACTATATCCACAAACAAATTGGATAGGGGTCGTTCACTTATGACGTCCGAAATTAACGGTCATTTTTCAATTCCGGATTTCGGAACGGATTTCCTGGAATTTCTATTGTTCTCTTCTTGCTGACCCTCCCCCCCCCCCCCCCTGGACGTCATAAGTGAACGGCCCCATAGCTGTTAAAATAATATATGTGAAATTAAATACATTAATATTTTATTTCTGTACATTAATACATTCAATCGAAATAACATAAAAATGTTCTTAAAATGGTGAATTCATTCCTAGTTTTGTACCAAAATCTAATCTCGCTCTTCGATGCCCTCTTGACTCCTTCTTTATCTCATAATATTTGCATAACTCAGCAACACCTGCTATAACAATCACTGAAGCTATTAGCACGATTAGTGCTGGCCATTTCTCATTCATCTCTTGTAAATTGTATTCGTTAAATACGACTTGGCATATAAATAGTAAAAAGTGAGCTACCAATCTGTAAGAAAAATACTTGGATTAGTATGGCATTTAAAAATCGTATCTATAACTGATTGTTTGACATTTTTGTATGAACATTTTTTAAATAAAGTAAAACTAATGGTAGCAAATATTATGTACTCACATAATTAAGCTCGTGATCATCCAACATGAGTTGCTCGTTGGACTTTTTTGCCAAAATGAGTAATCACGATGAACAAATGATGATGAAATGATAACTAAATGCAAAACAGCTCCAAAAAGGATAAATTGACGTGCTAAGGTTGTGTCTTTTATAAAATCTTCTTCATGCGCCGCTACTAAATCAAAAACAATGTGATCAACAGTGAATAGATAGATGACGATAAGAATGACAATAGATACGATGTATTTAGCCCCATAACACCAAAGGATGAATAGAAATGTATTAAAGTCGACCTTAAACATTGACTTTTTTCCGCATGCACGATTCATAATGTTTGCATCGAATTCAATTCGAACGAGTGAAATTGCCAAAGGTGCTACAATAAAGCACATGAGATAAAGTAATAAATCAGGCAGGATAATTGGTGGTAAGCTCATTGCACAGCTTAGCATATTGAGTATTGAAAACATAATTGCTGTACATGAATAGAATTGAACGCAATTCCAAAGACCAATTGAAAATTTCCTTGCCAGTTCAATGAGTCCCAAAATTGATATTGGCTCATCACGTCGTACAGATATGGAGCATGGAAGTGAATTTAACATGCGACTAAGATAAATTGGTGATATAGTCACGCTCTTTTGTATATCGTACCATTTACTAGATCGATCATTCCTTAAATATTTTTGCTTATTGTTATACAAATTCGATTCCGTATAAGCTGGTAAATTTTGGCAAACTGATGGATAAAGTGGCTCACAGCCGATTGCACAATTAGCTTGAAGAAAGATTTGGCAATTTGAATTAGCATTAGCAGCAGATCCCATGACTACACAAATCTCTCCATGAGCTTGCATAATCCTTAGCATTTCTTTTGTTGCTTCAGGCAAGCAATCAGTAAATAATGACACAAGTAATGGGACATTATCGACATTTTCTATATGTGGCTCAATATTTTTGATTCCCCTCGGTAATTTTGCACGGTTTGAAATGTAAATTGGAATTGGATTACTTTGTTCAGAACTGTCTGTTGTAATACTTATCGATTGGTTTTGGATATCCTCATTTGGCAAGCCTTCCATCACGGAATCATGATTTGATATTGAGCTATTTCTAGACGTTTCTTTATTTTCATCCTCATTAACTTCGTTGTTTGGATGTTCTGTTGGATCTGATATCGCACAAGGAGCTGACGAGGATAACATTTTTGTTGATTCAAAATTCGAATGAGGTAAGAGACGTGAATATTCGTCTGTTATGTCTTTAGTTTCTTGATCTTTTTCTTTGACGTCGACACTTTTTGAATGTTTTGGTGAAGGAATCGAATTGTGCTCATCTGGCTCTAAAAGTGATATATGACAATTCCATCCCGATTCAAGTCCCATTTTTTCACTAAATACTCTTGACCTTAATTCATTCTCCTTACTAAAGTGGACAAATCGTATGCAGGCTTTCTCGAATCTCTCAATCAGCTGCACAATATCAGATATTGCTTGATATTGCATCGTGACCATTCCTATGAAAATTTGATGCGATTGCATTTCAAAACATCCGTCAATGTCACTTACTGGTTCTTCCTTAACATCAGAAAAGAGCAAGGAATCTGAACTTATTGAATGTGACATCGAATGACCCTCAAAATCACAATTATTCTTCTCAGAATGCCTAAATCGTTTAAATGTTTCTGGTGGAAGTTCTAAATATGCCACATCACATGATGATATATCGGATGGTTTTGGACCTGCTAACGATCCTGTAATTCCATGACGAAGCGGACGGTATGAAAATGCTGTACAGTATGCAGTCTAAGTGTGAGAAAAATATAGTTAAAGATAGTAGTAAAATATCTAATTTTAGATTCATTACGAGTGCATTTCTTTGATAAAAATCTTGAGCTCGTTTTCTTTCCTCTTCTTTTAATGGTCGCAAATCCTTTCCACTCCAGAAATCATCGCATGAATCTAAAATTATGTCTGCTGTGCCTTGACTTAAAAGTTGTAAAGCACCGCCATGAAATTCTCTGATGACAACTGATAATGAATGTGGAAATGGGATCTTGATTTTTGTTGCCAGATGCAAGGATTTTGCAAAACGTGTATCACGTCTTATCACTTCCGGTTGCTATGAATTAGAACAATTTGCTTCCTAAAGATTCAGTTACAACAATAATTAAATTTAATTTCTTACCAAATGACGATAGCTTGAAATTTGTCCTTCAAAGTTAAAAATGTTCTTTGCTTGAGGCAAAAATCCAATCTGTCTTGCTAATTCACATAGACATCGTCTTTAGTCGAATAAAGAGAAGTTTGATATTAGTTTATAGAAGGATATAAATATAAAGGACATCAACCTTCACATAAAAGTATGAAAGTTGTCGCTTCATATCAAAATTCACTTGATACAGAAAAGATATAAAACAGACAGAAACAGCAAAATTTCTAAAATATTTACAAAAATGAACACACAAAACTAAAAATTTCGCATGCTTTAAAATGCTTTCAAATTTTTAATTTAGCATGAATACCAAGAAATTCGTAAGTGCTATTTGTTGCTCAAACTTTGCCAATTAAGTATGAAAGAATTTCTCGGTTGATAAACCAATTGCTGAAGTTATAGTTGATGAAAGATTATAATACAATGAGTTTACTTTACCTACATGTATATCTAGTGATTATTAAGTCTTAAATCTAGGCATTTTTGAAAGACTTTACATTCTTTTTTAAAAGCATTTACAAAGCCAGAAGCCATGAGTACAATTTGAGACATGAAAATCACATTCCTGACCCATATCATTGGATTAAAATTAGAATCAAATGAGATTCTTTCTAATCCTTCTAGACAAGAGCATATCCAATTGTAGTTCTTATTACTAGAGAAGCTTTCAGGATACACCCCTGCATCTAAATTCAAATAAATATCATCCATCACAAAAAAAAATTCAAATCTTTACTCAAACTCGTAGTTACCATCAATGTAGAATACTGTTTCTTGTCAATAGAAGGTCTTAGCATTACTTTTCATAATTTAATAATTTAAAAACCACTGCCATTCATAAAGCTTACCCATGCATAAAACTTGCACATAAATCATACCGATTTGTAACTGGAACTAAATTTTTATCAATCATTGATGCTGCTGCGATGTGACTGCAGAATTTAGAGTATGCATATTGTGTCTTATCACAGCATGTGTTGACCAAAATAGCTAGACCTAAAATTTAGATCCAGTATGTTAACAACCATGACTAAATATCGATTTTAATAAATTGTATACCTAAAGGTTTTAATGAGCTCAAATGATTCTTCCACTCGTGATCATCAAATTCCAATTTAAAGGGGCTGTTTTGATCATTTGTTACATCCAAAACTTCAGCAACTGTTCCTTGTTCATTTTGATCTGTCGATTCCGAGTTTAAGCTCGATTCACTTGAATTTTTTGAGTTTCCATCGACGTTGGCATCACGTAGAAAAAATACTTTTTCAGGTGTTGGATTCGGCCATGACAAAAGTCCTTTTTTATCCACACAGCAAAATGCAGAAACGGATCCCAAAACTTGAATTATATTAGTTGAGCGACTTAACAAGTCACAACTTCCATTAAGAATCCTCAAATAATTGAAAAATACTTGTTTTCGTGGTATTATGGGCATATCCAAATCTGACGTTGGTGTATCCATCATTTCTGGAGAACTTTTAGATTTCTCAACTTGCATAAGAGGTTGTGGTATTGACAGCAATGTCTGTAGTCGTGCTGATCCCCAATGATGGAGATTAATCCAAAGTAAAGGGAAAATTAATGGCGATAAACTAAAGAGTGATGAGACGCAATTCAAAATTCCAATGTTAGTCCAATTTGTGTGCATGATTTTTCCTTTAAAGAAGTAGCTGTCGAAAGCTCTCAAAATTATTGTTCCAATAACGAGAAAAAGGACCATGATAAAAACATATTTTTGTAAGTAAATATTAATCAATATATGACGTTGATGATTATGGAACGTTGGTGGACGATCCAAAAAATGTTCTAATGAATATTCCAGATTATCAATAAATGGTGTATGTTCAACGATACACATTAAATCAGGTAAAGGTTGAACTGCAATTGGTTTTGTTGGTGCATCGCCAAATTTTGAGCTATGTCCATAAGTTTCACCAAGTTTAAACGATCTTGGTTTTGAATGATTCGTTATTTCACGGACATTGGCTGGAGATATTTGACCTACTCGAAGGATAATAACGTCTCCTTCAACAAGCAGTGCAGTCGGTAAATTTCGAAGTTCATGATCACGATAACACCAGCTCAGACTTATACAAGGAGATAATGGAGAGCATAATGGAGGATAATTGCTACTTTTCCAGTCTTTTGAAAGGTTTATTGACAATTCTATTTCGTCAAGTAATTCTTGTGTTTTTCTTAACATTTCTGTGGATTTCAGTTTCTCCTCTCGATATACAAAATATATATTAAAAATAAGTAACAAAAGTACAAGCACTCCCGTAAAATAATATGTTGTTATAAAAAGTCCTGCGATCACTAAAAGTGAAATAAAAATTGAATAATTGGATAGAATTTTATGATTTAGATCCTTTTTAAGTTTTTTTCTCTTTTGATTTTCATATTCTGCATCTACGACTTTCTTAATGTCTTCATGTAACTTTTTAAGAGCATCTTGCGTACTCAAACCAACTGTTGAATTTGTCTCGATATTCATTTTAACCACTTTAATGTTTATACAGCATAAAATAAATGTAATTTTAGGTGAATTTTCACTTTCGATTGATGTTTACTATGAAAAAATGACTAACACACTTAAACTCGCACGTTGCCACATTATCAGCTGTTCTATGTTGCACGTAATATTTACATCATTCAGGGTTCAACATGTTCATTTAGGTATATTCAAAAAGTTTATTATCTTCGTTCTTTTATACATAATTCTTGTAAGAAACTTTATGTTCTAGCTTTCTTAACTTGTTTTCCATCCACAATATTTAATTCTTTTAAAATTTTGGGTAATTCATTTAATAGTTCATCGGATGTTGACTTAAACTCATTCTGTGCCCAAATTTCTTTTAGTTTACTAAAAATTGTTCCCATTATTTTGCCTGAAGGACATCCATGCTGTTTCAACGTTGATCCATCAATTGGGAATCGTGGTATTTGCCATTCTTTTAACTTTTCATAGAGATCCTTTTTGCATAGAAATTTTAAGAACTCTTCAACATATTCTTTTACGTCCTTTGGCTTGCCTATAAATGTCTGCAAACACATTTGTTGGAAAGTTCTGAAAATTAAATCGCTATTAAATTTGCAAAAAAATGGCTTAATTTTACTCCTACAAAAGGTTATCAAGGTCCTGGTCAGTTTCTCTGGATTTCATAATAAAGTACATCAAATCTCGTTCATATGCAGAGAACTTCAATCTCTCATGAAGTTTTAATGCATCTTCTGGCGTGTATAACAGTGCGCACATCAGAGTCATTGGATTGTAATCAACATTTTGGATTTTATTCTCCTTTAGACGTTTGAATTCTTCAGTGTTTGGGGTTTCAGGTAAACCTAAATGGTTTCAGATAGGCAATTGTAGGACAACATTAAACTATCCCGAACATACAACGATGGCGATCACTCGGAGTGATGATCATAGTGATGGTAACCACTCTGAAATTCACTGACTGCCATCACTATGATGACCATAGTGATGGTAATCACTCCGGAACTCATTGACTGCCATCACTGTGAGTACCACATTGACTATCATCACTATGGTCATCATTACTGTACTCACTAAAACTTAAACTTTTTGAATGACAGAATTTTTTTTTTCGAATGTTAGATTTTTTTGTAATTACAATCAAGATGGATCAAGATCGCCTACCATCATTGATGACCATCATTTGATCCCCTACATTATAAAATGTGATGGCAATCATGAAGGCAGTCACGACTACACTCAATGATGACCATCATTTGATTCCCTAAATTATTAAATGTGATTGCAATCATGAAAGCAGTCACGACTACACTCAGTGATGACCATCATTTGATGCCTTAAGTTATAAAATGTGATGGCAATCATGAAGACAGTCAAGACTACACTCAGTGACGACCATCATTTGATCCCCTACATTATAAAATGTGATTGCAATCATGAAGGTAGTCAAGACTACCATCATTTGATGCCCTAGCTTGTAAAATGTGATTGCAATCATGAAAGCAGTCACGACTACACTCAGTGATGACCATCATTTGATGCCTTAACTTATAAAATGTGATGGCAATCATGAAGACAGTCAAGACTACACTCAGTGAATCCCATCATTTGATGACCAAAAAAATTATTTTCCACAAAATATGATTAACATTACTATCATCACATGAAAGTGAATGTCATATTTTACATGAATGTCAGAGTTAAAAACAAATAAAACAAAGAATTCTTGTGAAATAAACTAGGTGTATATTGGATTGTAATCACTGATGGTAGTCAGTTATTGTCATCATGATAGCCTTCACTGAATACCATCACGTGATGGTAATCACAAAGGTAAAGTAGCGTACTCAACATGCTTTAATTGATGGTCATCATGTGATGGCAGTCATAATGATCATCAGTGATGGCTTAACTTGGATGCAAGCTTTCATGCAAGTAAGGTCATCACTGATGACCATCATGATTACCATCACGTGATGGCAATCAGATGGGTAAAGTAGCGTACTCACTTAATGTATGTGAGTGATGGTAGGAATGATTGCCATCATTGTATGTTCGGGTATATGTGAAGCTTACCAATAAATGTAGATATTCCACAATCTGCCATCTTCAGCATTAATTCTTCTGCATAATTTCCTTGCAATATTTTCTAAAGGAGCAATCAATAAGATGCTGGGTTATAAGTCCAGAGATTATAAGTCCAGGGACGAAAATCGTGCACAGAAAATTATAAGTCCAGAAAATCAAAGTCAATAAAGGTTTATAAGTCCAGATACAAATTGCACCTGGACTTTAAAAACCTCACGTGCAGTTTATAATTCCAGCTGTATTTGTATTTAGACTTATGAACTGCACGTGAGGTTTTTAAGTCCAAATGTAATTTGTATCTGGACTTATAAACCTTTATTGACTTTGATTTTCTGGACTTATAACCCAGCATCAATTAATAATTATTGAAGGCATTATTACATTAAATAAAGCGAAATGAGTACCTTAAGTTCAACCCAAATGCGTTCACCACTTATATTTTGTAGACCTTCAACATTATTGGAAATGATTTGAATCGTTTTGTCGTCATGCTTGTCTGGATCATTAGAAATTCGTCCATAAAACCGGAAATACCTCAAAATTCTCAAGAAGTCCTCCTTAATTCGCTTATCAGCATTGCCAACAAATCGAACTTTCCGCTCCAAAAGATCTTCGTATCCATAAAAGTAGTCAAAAATTGATCCATCAAGTCCAAGGAACATCGAATTGATAGTTAAATCCCTTCTGTTTGCATCCAGGAGCCAGTCTTTTGTGAATTCAACTTCAGCATGTCTGCCATCAGTAACAACATCAATTCTCAAAGTTGTGCATTCAAAATTCTCTTGATTATTAATTCTTGCTGTTATAGTTCCGTGCTTTTCTCCATTCATGTTAATCATCCTTATATTTTCAGCATCAAACATATTCTTCATTTCTTGTGGAGTTGCCACAGTAGCAAAATCCAAATCAGTTGGTTTCTTTCCCATAACAAGATCCCGTACAGCTCCTCCAGCAATCCTTACTTCATATTTGTACTTTGCAAATATTTCAACTAAATAATCTAATTCAGGCGTAAAAATTGATTTGAAGAGATCATTATCCAATTTTATTACCACTGGATCTTCTCTATATTTAACATCAGGATCCATTATTCTTACTCGATTATTAGAGCTTAATAACTTTGCGAAATTGATCTAAAAGTGTCATGTTTAATTGTATTCCTTTGAAATGTTATAAAATTCGTACTTACAAGATATGAACAATTAGCTACTCTATGATGCTTCAAAATATATCTTGTTATTAACATGCTTTCATTACAGTATAAGTTAAATTAAATGCTTTAACGCCAGAAAAATATAATTTTAAGTTTTGTTATTATTTTTGTCGGTTGATCAAGTCACACTGTTCCAAAATAAATCACTCACTTAAGCATCATCGATAAAGACTGTTCATTTTGAAAAATCTAATTTTCGTTAATATCATTAAAACAAAGAATGTTTCATAGTGTTTTACAAATTAAAATTAATCAACAATGTATAAGGAATATATTTGGATGTCATCTTCAGCATGTTAATTCATAATTATCAAGAAAATTGAGAAAAAGAAAAATATAAAAAGGTCGTTACTCAAATAATTCAAAATTCTCAAATTTCGAAAGCATTTTTTTAAATTTTTCGAAATCGTTATGGTTGCTACGTAAAAATACGTACGTAATACTTAACGTACTGACATTGTTTATAAGAAAAGACATAAAAATTTTCTCCTAAAGAAAAAAATAAATTATTCACAGAAAAAAGCATATAATTAAGCTAGAAATATATTTTAACTATAGTTTACAACGTATATAATGTGTGGAAAGTGAAGGATATATGTAAGATAAAAAAGTTGTACAATAAATTTGTGTTTTTTTGATCATCCGTTTTGCAATTTTGAGAAAAATCTAATTTCAAAGTGATTCATACTAATTTAATGGGAAATTATTAAGATAAAATATCAAAACGAGTTGCTTATCAATATTCTTGTGTATTATAGTGTAAAGAAATAAAGGAAAACGATAAAACATGAAAATTGTGTAAATCAAGAGAAAAAAAAAGTTTGCGTAGGAGTGCTTATCAGAGAGAAGAGAAAATTAATAGACATGTTAAGTGTACACAAAAAGTCTATCGGGTAAAAAAGTCAGAAACATCTTTCCGATATTTTTGTGAAATGTGCAAATGTAAACTATATTTTAAATGATCTCAGCCTATTAATATAGAAAAGTTGAAAAGAAACCCGTGCATAAATTGAAGTTTTGTTGGAAACAGGCAAATTTGAATGTTTAATAAAAACCCAACCCTTTGAGAAATTGATTCATTTGTACGTACAGAAAAAAAGAAAGGATACATAAAATACTCATTCGTCACACAGTGTGCTTTATGAGATTTAGTGAACCCCTATTACGCAAAATTAAAGAAGAAAACAAAAGGAGATATTAAAGAGGGAAAAAATTTGTCCAATAATATTATAATTGCCGGTGAGTTCATTACTTTTAGTTCTTTTTTGTGTCGCGTCAAATGAATTAAAATTGCACAAGTGAAAAGCCGCAATTTTATTTTCCGGTTGTATGCACTTTAAGCGCATTTAAATCTAAACTCGACTAGACATTATTCGAGATTTATGTGTTTTGATATTTTAAGTGCAATAGAACGAACGTCTGTGATTTTTCTACTAGCTGACTATTTTCTATTTATCGTCGCTGCTTGATTCAGAAATTTATACACAAGTGTTCGCTAAATATTTATATTATATTACATGTATTTCACATCTCATGTCAACAAATTCTTCAGAATTGACTCATACGCATCAATTAGACTTTAAAGTAACATCGCATCGTGTGCATTAATATTAAGTGTTTCAAAATTGTTTGCAAAAAGAACATTAAACGAGGGAGAGAAATATAAAATGAAGTGCCAATTTAGATGAAAACTCCAACTGTGTAAAAGCAAACTTTCTTCTTCATCCTCATTTTGCATACATAAATTGGCAATGAACACATGGATGGATAACAGTAAAGGGCTATTTTTTAATACACACACATTTATTTTTTTTTACAACGCCACATAAAATTCATTTCTTAGTCAGTTGTTGGCGAATCATTTCCATAACTCTTTCAACTTCTAAACCTCTTCCACATGTTTTAAACAAAAAACTCTGAGTTTTCAATTTTTTAAGCATCAAGATTTCATAAATAATTTCATTCTATAAATTCAAGTGATTCGAGTCTAATACGAACAAAGTATTCCAAAAATTGACACACGCATTGAGACATTCTGTGCTGTTGACAATTTTTCGTTTTTCAAAAATGAAAGGTTTTTAATTTAATTATGAGTTGACTGTTTTAATAGGCCCAAATCAATAGTAACAAAGCTGAATTAAAAAAAATGCAGTTGAAGGTTTTTATTGATTTTTTAGTGCTGACCAAAAATTGTCCAAATGTGAGCACTAAATCAAGCTATATAAATAAAGAAATATAACTATTAAATTATGTCGACATTCAAAAAAAAAGTTCTGAAACAGAACTATATGAAAAGGTCAAATTATGCTTTATTAGGCACTTCATAATTTAATCCATTAAAGGAATCTCTTTGTTGATAGTTTAACTTGACTGAATTGAAAAACCCATAAATTCATCAATTTTTTCATGCATTGCGTATTGTTGTGTAGAAATTGAAGATAAATACTGATAGATTAAATTATGATAGATTAAATTATGATTGTTCAATTAGAACAAGAAAATACCATACTGCGGAAGCTATGAGGTTTCTCATGTTTATATAAAAATATCGTACTACTATTGAATAAACAGAACGGAATGAAAGAAAAAAATCCAGTGAGCTAATCAAATATATTTTAATATGAATGAGAAAAGCGATAGACGGATTTAGAAGGCCATAAATGAAGTTACAAAATTCAATCAGAAGTCTAAATAAATATTAGTTTCAGAGATTCCCCTTCACAACATGACGCGCAATTAAATTATGTTATGTTATATGTAATTTTAATCTTTAACGACAACACATCATAAATCTTTCAGACTTTTATTCGTACATCTTTTGATGTATATTATGTGTGATGTAAGTGATCTAAAATTATAAGCACCCATATTTTATACTGGGATCAGATGTGTTTTCGTTCAGGTATCACATTAAATTATAGAATATTGAATTTCATTCGATTGCTAGGTAGATATTTCATTTTTTTTTTTTAATGTGTACATATAGTTATAGCCTACACAATTGTATTGCCTCAACAGTTTTTAGTAAACAATTCTTCTTCTTCTTCCCTTTCGGCACTTCAATGTGTTTATCAAATGTCAATGAAAAAAAGAAGTTGTCACAAAAAATGTCATCAATCTTTTAACTGATAAAAAATATTTCTAAGTGTGACTTGCTCCTACCTAAAAATTTAACATCTCGACAACGTATGTGACGTGAATTCACCAAATAGACATTATTCAGTAAGAAAATAAAAATAATAATACTACTAATAGTAAGAGACGAAATATTTATGATGCACGATTGTATCGTAAATTTAGATTAAGAGAGAGAATTATTTATCAGTTTGTTGAACTATGTGTGAGATGCATCACATTATGTACATATTTTCAAAATCATTTATAAGAAGAGAAAGACATTCGAAAAAAGAAATGAAGATGATACACCTCATAGACTACCAGACTGCATGAGCTTCTTCTTATTTTATCATATTATTATACTTTAGTGTATGCTCAAGGAAGCAGAAAGAGTCGGTTGAGGACAGAAGACGAAGAAAAATTCAAGCTGAAAAGAAAGAACGAATTGGCATTCATAGTATGCCAAAAAATCAGAAAAAGAAGAAGTGAAATCATTAAAGCATCGAATTTCGAGAATGTTTCGCTTCCTTTAAATTTTTCAACTTATTGAATTTACTTACCCAAATAATAAAAATATATGCATAAAGTTTTCAGATTATTATTGAGTGAATATTGAAAAAATTTCATTCCTATATGAAAAATTATTTTCCGTAATCGCATAAATATGTAGACACGTTTATAACCTTAGTGTCTACCAATATTTGTATTCAAACAATCGATTAGAATTCCAGACAACGTCGATTCACCAATAAAGATTTTTTTTATGAGCCTTTAAGAAATTATTTCGTCGTAAACACCAGCCAGAGTGCAATGGCTATATTTGTTATCGTATACTTATTCGAGTAGTATTAAATAACTTAACTAGTTTTATTTCATAATCGCTTACTTATTTATTTCTCCCTTACATTTTGCGATAAGGCATATTCATACTTAATCAATCACATAACTGTTTATATATTCACATTTGAATAGTAACAAGTTAAAAATAAAAATATAGTTGCAAGGGAAACACAAACGGAAAAGGAAAGGGTTCGAAAGATTTTGTTTAACGTGTAAGAAAATCTTTTCATATCGGATTTCATTTTCCTTGTTTCCTTTTATATGCGAAAATAAAATAACATGAGAATGAGAAAGAAATAGGCATTTTATTTTTAGTCATCGTGTCTGACCTGGTTTCACCTTGTATGGTACTTGATATTTTGATGTAAATTATATACTCTTCATTCCCTTTATTAGCACAAAGCGACTTTCTACTTGTTTGTTTTGTTTTGTTTGTTTTATTGATTTATGAAACAAAAAAAAAATTATTCATTCATTGAGTATAAACGTGTGTGGAAAATTTATGCTCATGTGAATGAAAATGTGTGAAAATGGATCTAACGATTGGGCATGAAATTCTTCGAAAAATTCATATTTTCTCTTGCTGTTGAATGACAGGTGAGAGCAAGTCTTGTAAAATAAAAAAGTGACAGGTGACAAGATCCTTTTTGCAAGAACTTACCTAACTTCTTACATATTAATACGTTTCAATTCCTTCTAAATGCTTTTTATCATCATTTCTTTTCTTTTTATTACATTTTCTACATCCAACAGTTCATAAAAGGATTCACCTTTTCCTGTTTTTTTCACCTAGATAAAATAGGCTTCCGGGCATCATTAAATATTTATGTGAATTTATAGTATGGTAGGCAGGCAAAAGTATTTTCCATTTCATTCTACAAGTTTTTCTTTTTACCAATGTTCATCGTGTCACGGTTTCTATTCATTGAATTTAATATGTAAAGATAAAGATATTTTCCTTCTATACACACTCATTGTTATTTCTTTTCTCAGTGGTAAATTGCTGTAAAGAGATTTTCACATACATCTCTAGTTCATTTATTTTCTTTCTTTAGATGTTTTGCATCAACGACTTAGTTATTTATGTATTGAAAGAGATTAAAATTGATTGAATGATACTTGATGCTACAGATTTCTTTAATATATGGCACGCGAACGACACTTAACTGAACTGTATGTCGCCAAAGATTATTGGATTATGTTTCATCAATAAAACCACAGGAATTTCGTCTTATTTAGAAATGAGAACGCGCAGTGTTGTTTTTGCAGATTAATAAAATTGCTTTAGGACCGTTCAATTATGACGTCTTAAATTAACGGTCATTTTTCAAAATAGAACAAGGGATTTCCAGTAATTTCTATTGTTCTTTTCTTGCTGACCCCCCACCCCCCCCTTGGACGTCATAAATGAACGGTCCCTTTTGGGAACATACTCTTTTTACCCTGTAAAACTATTAGAAACATGTATGTTAATAACATTTTATATAACGTCACTTCATTACAATATTATGATAAATTAAGGAAAGTGTCATCACGGGTATTCCCTACATCCGACATGATATGTATATCACAAAAATAATATTCTATTGATGCTTAGTTATTTACCTTAACAAATTGAAATGAGCTTATAATTTATTTTTATGACAACATAAATACTTTCAAAAGTTATAAGTAGCTTTTGTTACTATCCACAATTATGTCTGATTCTTTTTTTCTTTGACTTTCCGTGTTTACAAATTAAAAAAATCTACTTTTTCGAGTGAACAAATGAAGATGATGATTTAAGCTTTAGGCATTTTTGTTGTTTCTTTTAAATGCATTTCTATACTTGTTGATTATTTAACAATGACATATAATAAAGTAATGAATTAAAAAGAGAAATTTGAAATGCATTGAATTGTGTCTTTTTTTGTTCTTTTTACACTCATTCCTATCAGTATACTAATGAGACTTGCTTGTTTGCAAGTACTATTCCTTAGACAAAAGATATGCGGGTGTTTGTGGAATATCATGCCATGAATAAAGTTTTTTAAGCGGAAATCTTTTACTTTTGTTTGAATGAATTTTCTTTTGTTCTTACTTAATTTTTGGTTTTCCAAATTAAGTGTTAATGCGATTCAAGAGAAATCTAATTGTTAAAAGGGCAAGACTTTATGTTAAAAGTTTCTTTCCTTTTTGTGTAATGGTCTGTTATCCTTCGTTTGTAACTTGGTTAACTTCTGCAATTTGAAGTTAATTTTTTTAAAAATCTCCAGTTGTCTGGTGTGTAAACAGAAAAAATTGCCCTAATATCTGCTTTGAATTTGCACGAAAAACTGTTTTTAAGTCAAATGTTTCTCTGTCTAATTTGTAAATTACATCATATGCCAAATGTGTCATGTTTTCATCTTTTATTATACAGCTGCTAATGCTGTCAAATTTACACTCGAATATATTTGTTCTAGTGATTGACAGAAGGCGATGAGCAATTTGCTGCTAAAACTAAGAATTAATAAATGGACGTAAAATTCATTTTTCAATAATAAGCCAAACATATTGAGGACTTATGCATATTTAATTGTTGAATACGAAGCAGTTTATGTAAATTAGTAAATTCTACTCATAATTAGTTTTAAGTTTATAATATTAAAAAGAGGCATGGCAAAATGAATTAATATACTACGCATTGCGTAACATTTTAAAACAATCTCTGTTACTCAACACAAACATATCACAGCATGTGAAGCATATTTTTCAATCAACATAGATTTTTCTTTCTATGAGAAAAAATGCTTTGAACGAGAACAATATTTTTTTAGAGAATGCCTCGATTTCTCTTTGAAATAAATTTCTTCAAAAATTCCTTCATTCTGTAAAAATTTACTTTGTTTCAAATTCTCATTAGGAAAATTTATGTGGAACATATCTCAGAAAATAGACAGAAATGTTCATTAGTCGAAAACGCCGTATGAAGAAAATATATTTCACGTCACAGATTAACGTGCTACTTAAACATATTGTTTACACTTATTTGACCTGTACTAGAATTATTTACATCATGTCATAATGCAAATCTACGGACACTTTAATGATATATACACCGAAATTAAATATTCGTATTTTGTCTTGTCATAATACTATTAATTTTATATTATTTTATAGTAAAGTACCCGAACATACAATGAGTATACTCAGAGCACATTATTTTTGAGCTTGCAAACTTTTGAAAGAATGTGCTCATTTCATACATTAAAGTGATGCGATCATGGTACCTTTTTGAGTATGCTCAGTGAGCATATTCCTATGTGACATGCATTAAGCTCACTGAGTAAACTCATAAGCATACTCAAATGAGAAGACAACACGCAACATTTTTTTAATGCAACATTTTTTATTGAATATACTTATGAACATTCTCAAAGAGCTTATACTCATGAAGATACTCAAAAGATATATGCTCAATGAGTTTATTTATGAGTATATGCTCATCTGAGCAAATGCATGAGTGCAATCAGTTAAAGTCACAAAATTCAAAAAATTAATTAAGCTAAATTTGTGTTTTATAAAAATAATTCTGTGAATAATTTTGGAACAGTTAGAAATTATTATTAACATTTTATCTCAAATACTTAATACGAAGTTTTAAAAACCGGTCACCCATCCTTGTAGAAAAACCTATCGCGTTGCTTAACTTCTGTCACCTCACACTTTTCATTGGAGCAATTTTCTGTAAATATATAATAATTTTTATATGGCAAAACACATACTTAAATTATTATATTATTACAGGCAAAGTAAGTTCTTTGAAGTTTGATACGCTGCTTAATTGAACTATATTTTTATGAAATGTTTGAGTTGATCAGAGCACGATCGGCTTAAATTTCGGCTTAGCATTCTTTAACTTGAAATTCTGAGCTTACTTTGGCTACATGCTGAAAAAATATTTAACAGAATCATAGTAAAGCATGTAAAGTTCAATTTAAATACTTAAAATGGGTGTTAAATGGCTTTTTTCTATCAAAAAAATCAAAAATTGAGTTAAGCCGAAAAAATCGGCTTCGATCTCTGGTAAATACCCATGAGTATGTTCTTAATATTCCCATAAGCATGTTCAGTAAGAGCACTCATATGAGAACGTAAAAAAATTATGTCACACAGAAGTGAGTATGTTCTTAATATTCTTATGAGAATGTTCAGTAAGTGCACTCATACGAGTGTATTCGCATAAGTATGTTCTTAATATTCTCATGAGAATGTTCAGTAAGTGCACTCATATGAGAACGTAAAAAAATTATGTCACACAGAAGTGAGTATGTTCTTAATATTCTTATGAGAATGTTCAGTAAGTGCACTTATACGAGTATATTCGCATAAGTATTTTCTTAATATTCTCATGAGTATGTTAAGTAAGTGCACTCATATGAGAACGTAAAAAAATTATGTCACACAGAAGTGAGTATGTTCTTAATATTCTTATGAGAATGTTCAGTAAGTGCACTTATACGAGTATATTCGCATAAGTATGTTCTTAATATTCTCATGAGTATGTTAAGTAAGTGCACTCATATGAGAACGTAAAAAAATTATGTCACATAGAAGTGATTATGTTCTTAATATTCTTATGAGAATGTTCAGTAAGTGCACTTATACGAGTATATTCGCATATATATGTTCTTAATATTCTCATGAGTACACTTGTTGAATGTACTCACGTGAGCTTATAAATTTTTTGCAAAAAAATAAAGTGAGTACATTCGTAATATACTCCTGAGCATGCTCAGTTGAATGAGCTTGCATGAGTATAATTTTTGAGTAGACTCACTTATATGCTCACTTTTTTGAGCATGCTATTTGTATGTTCGGGGTATAGACACTTGAAAAAAGTGCTTTTGACTTCCTTTGATAATTTCAAATCGTATATAATCTCATTAAATTAAACATTGTGTGTAAAGTTTATGGATCGTTGGTAATTGATTTCTTAAAATGAGCAATTTTAAATTTTCTGGGTATCTATACCTTTTAAAAATCATTCATTCAATTTTAATGAATAAACTGTTTAGATATAAAACATAATATTCTATTTTAAATTTTCTTCTTCTTTTTTTCAGTCACGCATACACGTTCATCAAAAAATAATAATAATACTTTAAAAAATACTAAAGCGGCATAAAGAATTGGTCAGCTGTCGAGGAGAGTTATTAAGTGAAATGTCAAAGAAACCATCTATCAATGATAGTACATATGAAAATATTACTCAGCATACCACAGCAATATTAAATAATAGTAAAGACCAAGATGAAAATGATGACGATTATGTATCATCAGAATCACAGAATTTTAAAGTAAATAATAATAGTATTGAAAGTCTGGATTGTGATACACCAACAACGATGAATAATTTAGTGAAGCATAAAGATGCGCTTTATGCGACACCTTTAAGAAAAACTGAACGACATAAATCAAGAAAATCCCCAGGACCAGATAGTGAAAAAATAAGTAATATTAAGCATCACCTAAATGGATCTGAAGATGTAGAATTAAAGAATTTGATGGACCGAACATACTTGAATAGCGAACTCGGAGAAAATCGAATAAAAGATTTCTTAAAAGATACAGCTCACATGCATAAGAAAATAGAACCGCCGGGAAAAGAGCACATTGGATCAAGTTTTTCATATTTGGCTCGTAAAGAACATTTTGTAAATTTAGTACATCAAAACATTTTAAAAGATCAACCAAAAGAAGAACCGCCTCAAGATAATTTACAAATTGAAGGAGATTTAGAGAAAGATCTTATAACTTTAGATGAATCATTTGAACCATGTGGAGATCTGGAAGAAACAGAGAAACTAATAAATAAACTTGTAGATTTTCAAAATAAGATAGCTTTACAAGCTCAACAAATCGTTCCGTCATCACCAAATTTTTCAGCACGTTTTACTTCAACTAATGTCGTTAATATAAACCTTAATCGTGAATGGGTCTTAAAGAAAATAGCAATGTCACTAGAGCAAAAAGGGAACAAGAAATTGCCACCAATACTCCCAGAATTAGCAAATGTTAATCAGCAGCAATTGATGCAAAATGCAAATTTACCTGTTGTTGGTTACCTCGTATTAGGAAGTAATGGAAGCGGGAAAACTTCGATTTGTAATGATATAATTAATGGAAATAATGGTACCAAAGGAATGTTAAATCGACGTTTGATGTCATTTTATTTTGTGAATAGTCAAAATCCAGATTGTCATAGTTTAAGCACATTTATCAGAAACATGGCATTGCAGATTCTAAGTTTCTCGAGTTTGTGGAGTAAAAATGAGACTGATGAAAATGAGAAAAAAGATGAAGACAAAAGAATTGTGCAACTTACTGATCAGATTGATGGCTCACCGGCTGCCATCGATCATGAACTTGAAGAAATGATTAAAAATGAAATTCAATTAAACGAACGAGTAGCTGAGTTTTGTGAAAACAAGAAACAGATTTTACGTCAAAAATCGGAACCAACAACAGACGATAATCAAACGGATGATGCGTCTAAATACTCAACACATCCGCTCATACACAAGCAGAATGAAAAGAAAATTTCCCCAACTACCAAAGATGAAAAGACAGATGGAACAAAAAGTGAGAAAAATAGTCCGAGTAAAAAAATTTCGAAAATTCCAGTTAAAATAGGAAATCAAAAATCATCAAAAAACAGTTCTAACAGCTCATCACCTATTCATCAAACAACAAAAAATGAGGAAACAAATACATCAACAACACCAAATGAATCTGAAGATTCGATTCAAATCGGTGGAGGAGAAGCTATTGCAGATATTAATGATCAAAAATTAGAAGAAGATATTGCTAATGAACTTAGAGAAGCTATAGAAGATGATATTACAAATACGGTTGATATTCCAAACAATGATAATAATATTACTATAAATGAAAATGAAAAGGATGATGAACCATTATCAGAACGTCCACCGCCATTACCTAGAGAAAAAGATTGTCGTACAATTTTAGCTGATGCTTATTATAATATGATGTCACAAAATTCTGAAATTTTTGAATCGTTGATTGTAGATAATATTGAAAAGAATCCTGACGATTGTTTCAAAAAAGCTATTCTATTCCCACTTCTTGAACTCATACCGCCAAAGAGTGCATTGCTGATGCTTGTTGATTCGATAGATGAGAACTATCTTAACGATGGAACATTAATAACAACATTGAAACGTAGAAATAATACAAAAAGTAGGAATATTGCTGAATTGCTTTCGAATCACATCCACTTACTCCCGAAATGGCTCTTTTTAGTATGTACAGCTAAAAAACAAAATAAACATATTGTGAAACTTTTCTCAGGCTTTAAGAAGCTTACACTAGACGATTTAAGGAAATCTCATGTTGTGAAAGATGTTCAGCAATACATTATCAACAGATTAAATGCTGATTTTCGTGGTATCAATCTTAATAAAGAGATTATTGATAGTTTAAATCAGCTTTACATTAAATCTAATGGATGCCTACTTTATCTACGAAAAGTACTAAACGGTATTAAAGAAAACTTTTTTACTTTTCGTGAAATCAAATTAATTCCGTGTACACTTTATGGATTATTTTTGTATCTCTGTCAAAAATCATTTAACAAAAAGCAATACACGAAAATTCGTCCAATTCTTAACATTTTATTGGCATGTAGTGATGCTGCTGATAAAGATTTTGTTTATAATTGCTTGAAAACCCATAACTATACAATTGATTATGAAGAATTCGAGCGTCGGTTGGCGTTGATGAAAAATATATTGGAAATAGACGAGGAACGTGGAACGATAAAGATTTTCCACAATTCTTTCTGCGAGTGGCTAATTGATGTAAAGTTTAGCACTAAAAAATTCCTTTGTGACATAAACGAGGGACATTTAATGATTGCAATGTATTATACCTTAATAACTGACCAATTATGTCCAAATCGCATTCGGGATTATATTCATCATTTGATAAAAACGGCTGAATATTTGACTTCGAAAAATTCTCAATTGGACGTGCTTATGATACTTTTGGAATCGAGGGCAAACCTAAGTGATTGCTTCTATACCAATTCTTTCAATTGCTGCAAAAATTGTGAAACTGATTTTGAATTTGATATTAATCAATCGTATAGGACTAGAAAATTGATGCAATTCTATTTAAGTGGAAGACTGTCAAGAGATTTTTGTAGCTTTATTGGTGACTTCTTTAAGCCAAGCCTTCCAACTGATCAAAAAATATTAAAAGTTTTAATGGAAACTGGTATTAATAATTTAGACTCGCAGTTATCATGTGAGTCATCAAATGTCAATTCGCCAATTCCATCTGATAAATCTCAAACAATTGATTCCGAGTTGGCAGAACTATTAATATCAAGCGAGAAAAGTTGTAATGTAGAGCAAAAAGTGACAAATGTCGATACAACAATTTCTCAACAACCATCAGTAAATGACAACAGCTCAACAGTACAATATGAACGGCTAGATGTCGAAATGCATAAAGGAAAAGCTTTCATTCATGTTTTAGCAAACGATGGAAATCACGTGCTAATGGAACGAGCATTACGTGCTTGTAAAGGCCCTGTTGATTTGGAAATTGAAGATCACAATGGGCAAACAGCACTAAACATTGCTGCTCGAAACGGTCACCTCGAAATTGTCAGACTTCTTTTAGAGTTTGTATGGGTAAGCAATTAACAATTTTTTAATCACAAATAATATGAAAAATAATAACTGACATTTGTCGTAAATAAGATTTAAACGAACATTTAAAAAAAACTATTTTTTGAAATTAGGTTGATCCAGTTTCAAACCGACGAAGGGTAGGAGTTGATGTTAATCATGCTGATCGAGACGGTTGGAGTCCATTGCGTTCGGGATCATGGGCCGGGTTCACTGAAGTATGTAAGACATTAATTGCGCACGAAAAATGTGACATCGATAAAGCCGATAAAGAAGGACGAACAGCTTTGAGAGCGGCTAGCTGGTCCGGTAATGAAGACATCGTTCGAATTCTGATTGCGGCAAAAGCAAATGTCAATTCGATTGATCGACAAGGAAGAACAAGTTTGATTGCTGCATCATACATGGGACACTACGATATTGTCGAAATTTTACTTGAGAATAATGCAGATGTTAATCACACAGATCTTGATGGAAGAAATGCATTGTGTGTTGCTGCACTATGTGGATCAAGTGGTTATTCAAAAGTTATCAGTACGCTTTTAGAGTTTGGTGCAAATCCAAATCAAACAGATAATGAAGGAATGTCACCATTGCTTGTCAGCTCATTTGAAGGAAACGCAGAAATTTGTGAGCTTTTGCTCGAAAACAGTGCGGATCCTGATTTGGCTGATCATATGGGGAGAACTCCATTATGGGCAGCTTGTACCAGTGGACATTCACAAGTCGTTAAATTATTGCTTTTTTGGGGCTGCGGTATCGACTGTATGGATTCAGAAGGAAGAACATGCTTAAGTGTTTCAGCCGCACAGGGTAATCTTGAAACAGTTCGTCAATTATTAGATCGTGGATTAGATGAAATGCATCGCGACAATGCAGGTTGGACTCCCCTTCATTATTCAGGGTTTGAAGGATATGCCGATATATGTATTCAATTACTTGAATCGGGAGCAAAAATCGATGAATGCGATAATGAAGGCAAAACTCCACTTCACTTAGCAGCTCAAGAGGGTCATAATGCAGTGATTCAAGCACTTTTGGAAATCCATAGTGCATGCATAGATCAAAGAGCACATGATGGTAAAACTGCATTCAGACTTGCATGTCTAGAAAGTCATTTTGAATGTATCCAAACGTTACTAAAATATGGATGTGATGTCAATTTAAAAGATGCAGACTCAAGAACCACGCTTTATATATTGGCTCTTGAAAATAAATTAAAAGTTGTGAAATTTTTACTTGATTTTTCAAACGTTAATGTTAACATTCCTGATTCAGAGGGTAGAACGGCACTGCATGTTGCTTCATGGCAGGTAAAAATTAATAAATTATATTTCTGTTATGAATATTTTTTACTAGACCAAGAACTTTGTTTTCATAGGGTCATGTTGAAATGGTAAAAATGCTAATAACTATTGGAAATGCGGATGTGAATGCATTGGACCTTGAAAACCGTTCACCTCTTCATTCTTGTGCATGGCAAGGAAATCATGATGTAATGCAAATTCTTCTCTATTATGGTGCGATTCCAGATCACGCATGTAAACAAGGTGCAACAGCTTTAGGAATTTCGTCACAAGAAGGGCATGAAGAATGTGTCTCAATTTTATTGCAATATGGAGCAAATCCATTAAAAGCTGACCATTGTGGACGAACGCCTTTCAAATTAGCAGCTAAATCAAACCGAACCTCTGTTCTTAAAATATTGGAAAACTATGTCAAAAGTAAGCAATTAGTTGAAGATTTAAAATATTATTAAAGTTTAAAAAAAAAAAACATTTTTGTAGACGAGCATAATCCAAATTTACAACTAAAATCACCAGACAAACCTCATGAGAAATCAATTTTACAACCATCACCAAATACACTTCAGAATCCTAATCTTTTAATGGCTAATAATATGACTGGACACAGTCATGGACATCATGCTACAACGTCAACACAAAGTAGCAATTTTTACGAAAACACTATGCATTCTGATACGAGTAGCGCGAAAAAAAGAAAAAGTGTGATTTCTAGTCAGTCAACAGGAAGCAGTAACGAAGTATGCAGTTTAGAAAATTTTCACGTGATCAAATATTTGTAATCATGATAATTTTATCTTTCAATAGGCTCCAATATCTTTCACACAACAGCTACAAAAACATTCTCGTCACCACAATTCGAAAAATTCTAACATCATTCAACAGCAATCTACTGTTGTTGTTGGTAATGGAAAGAAGCATACGCAAATTTTACCAAATGTGGACGAGTATCAAGGACGAAATGTAAATGAAGCAGATTTATTTGAATGCATGTCACCACTTTATGCTTCACCACCGCATTCACCGAGCAGCGATTTAAGCTCACCACATGATGATATGGTTATGACCAACAATTTAACGTCTGTTGATTCAGAACATTTTGCTAGAGATACTCATATGAGAATCATCCTAGGAAATAATATAAAAGAACAAAAAGAAAAAGAAGCGTAAGATATTATTAATGCGTGATTGACATTTCTTTTTCTAATTTATGTTCTATTTAATTGTAGTAAATCGAATAAAAGAAGCGGAATCGCAACAAATCCAGCTATGCGCTTAATTCGCAATCGCATAGATTCAGCAGCGAATCTTATACGACGAACAAACAACTATATCACCTCAGGCAGTCAAGGCTCATCTAGTATTGGAGTAAAATCAAGCACATTTCAATGGAGAAAAGAGAGCCAAATGTAAACATGAAGATGATTAAAAAGTATATGAAGCAACAAAAATGTTTAAGAAATAAGACAGCTAAGCATGACATGAATTTTAAATCAGTTCTATAAGGAAGCTAAAGTAATGAATGACGTAAACGATATATTATATGAAAATTTTACTGAATGATACTCGCATTTTTTTTGTTCTTTTAAAAGAAGTTTTAGAATGAATAACTTTAGAAAAAGATAATCGTAGAAATATTGATTATGAAACTACAAAGATCTTATTCAGGAACAATAGAGAATGATAAATATGAACTTATCTTAAAGTTTTATTGATTGTGCATTATTCAAGAAACTAGTGTTATTGCATTAAACAGAAAAAGTTTCAAACGATTTCAGATTGTAGTAATTATTATTACATTCAATTTTATAATGTCACTAAAATATATTAGATTATTTTTCGAATTATTCTTGCATTTAGAATGTTGAAAACGTAAAAGAATCGCCATGCACGAAAATATTTAGACAAAAGGAGTTTAGGAAATTATCAAAAATTAGAGTAGTAATACTCCATATACAATATTGAGCTTATCATTTCATTACGGAACGTCTCTTCATACTCATTAATGAAAATTATGAATTGGATTTTATTGAATAATATCTTCAAATTATACAAAAAAAGTTAATTATGCAGTTAATAAATTTGCAAAGTACTCTGGCTTACCATATATTTTCGTAAAATTTTTCCATACAATCTATATAGTTATGAAAATATGATATCTTCATAAGCAGCTACAAAAACTGTCTTGGTTTGATGCATAAGTATTGAGAAAATACATATTTTTCATGAGTATGCCAGTTTGTAAGTAGAAATTCAACAAGCCATTCTCATAATAAACAATCTATGATACAGAGAGTAACCAAATGAAGCCATAGACCTTACTTAGACTAAAAATAGAAAATCAGTTATATTTTTGCACTCAACAAAAATATGCATGCACAAAAGCCGATAGAACATGAAGTTAAAATTACTTTGATAATAAAAACAGAAAAACATGAATAGCAATTAAAAGCGATAAAACATAACGTAACTGGAACAATGAAGGAAACAAGAAAGGTCTAATTTTTTGATACATTTATTTCGTTTTATGATTAAAATTTGCATTTCATGACATTTGTTGTATTTACACATTTACTTGAATCATAAGAGAGAAAAATGAACATATATTAATTATATTAACTTCTACATCAATTACGTAGTAGCTAGAGCTAAGACAAAAGTTTCATGCGATTTTGATTATTTTCAATGAGTTTGTTTGATTAATTTATGCTAGTCGATTATGTTCATATCCATGACATAAAAGTTTATTTTATTAAGCCACATATTTATTTTGTACTATTAAACACGAAAGATTAGTGAATATTTTATTTTACTTCCAATTCTTTTCTTTGAGAAAATTAATGATGAAGTGATTTTGTCTTTTTTATTTATTTTCTTTAAAATAACACACATTTTAAGTAAAAAACTTTAACATAACGAATGTAGTACATTGTAAGGAACAGAAATTGTATTTCAAATAAAAGATTTATTCGAAAATTCAAATTTTAATCTGATCTTCTTTAAGACTAGATTGCGTTTTAGAGTTTCATATCAATCGATCTTTTATCCTCGCAAGGAGTTTTCTAATTTCAGCTATCCTTCATGCACATATATTTAAACTGTGCTTAATAGAAATTTTACAATAAACATAAGATTTACAATTCGCATATTTTTTTCAACTTCAGACTGTTCATAATTGCACCTGAAACGTCCATCGTCCTACGTAAATATAAAAACATTATTGAAGCAATAACGGCTTGAAATCATTTAAGTTTGAGAGTATACTCAAATTTTTTTTGTTTGACTAAAACAATATATTTAAGTTTGAATGACTGCCATGCGAATTAATTTTACATTAATAAAAGTGTTTTGAATGGTTGTACATTTTAATTAATCAAAATCATTCGTTGGTTTTGAAAATAAACAAAATTACAACTGCATAAAATTTTACAAGGGCAGTGCAAAACTTCTTAAGTTTTTTTTTTAATAAATATTGAAGATTTTAATTTAAAAATGTGATTAAAGAAGCTTAATGTGAAAATTTATTAAAAATTTCCATCACATGGAGCCTATAGGAAAAAATCAAAATGATTTCTTACTATAAATTGCTGGTTTTTCGTCCAGTATTGGTGCTTTTTGTGATTTCAATATTCAGTCTTTCGTGCATTATAACAACATTAATTTTGAAGAGTCCTCCCGATTTTTCTGATCCAACTTTGGGCTTTGAAGCAAGAGGAACTGAAATATCAAAACGAATTACAACTTGGCGTAACTTACTAGAAGAAACACGTCCATCAGGTTCACTCGTAGTAAATCCAAAGGAACTTCAGCAACATGAATTTGATAAAAAGCATAGGAAAAAGAAAAATAGGCATCAAAAGAAGAAGCTTAAATTTGATGAGAAAATGAGAAAACTTAAGGAATTTGCAACAAACAAGAGTTATAATATAAATATAGTTTATAATTCTGAAGATGATATAGGAAACGATACATTCATCGAGGGGCATAATCACTATGATTATGGAACAAATAAATCTTACGATGAGCAGCGTGAAAATAAGATTAAAGAAGCTAAGAAAAAGAAGTGGAAAGGATTTTTAAACTTAGATCCACCGCCACTAACTTCGACAGATTTCCACAGTACAGATGGATATTTTTGCGAGTCACCAAGTAAATTACTTAATTGCAATTATTTCTAAATGATAAGTCTAATTGGTAATAAATTTAAATCTAGATAAAGAATATATTCATTTCGTCATCAAAAGGATAGGACAAAATGTTAATGAGTCAATGTTTGATACAAATAGCCTTCATTCTATGTGTGACTTGGAGCAAAAGTTGATGGAAATAGAAGGATACAACGATTTATGTCAGAAAGAGATATCATCACCTAATTGCTGTCGACCATGGTCTTTGCCGAACTACGTTGCTCTGCTATCAAATAAAACTTCATGTCGTAATATTAATGTGAGGCAAAAAATTTGAGCTTAAATTTAATCTTATAAATTCTTACGCTCAATTTTCTTTTCATATTTTCGTAGGATGAAGATGTATCCCTAGCTAAATCATTACTTTTCGAATGTTTTCAATATTACCATGGATTAAAACTTAATTATGACTGCACTCAATCAAAGTGTCGAGTTCCTGATGAATGTGCTCAATTTAATGCTGTCTACAATATATTACACTTTTTGACTGATCGAGATTTTATAAAATTAAATGAGACAGTGGAGAATTTAAGTGCTGCAATGATGTTTTTACCAATTGCACGAAGTAAAGATGCATTACCATTTTACCATAATTTAATTAAGAAAGGAGAAAGTGTCATGCAAACAGATTCAGTTGGTATTGTTGCTATGGATATGGGTATTAAAAATGCCCTGTTTGATGAGTGTTTATTATCGGATGCATGGCTAGTTGGACTTGGTGGATTATTTGTAATCATTTGTATGTGGCTCTATACATCATCATTCTTTGTGACAGTGAATACAGTAATTGCAATAGTTTTGTCACTTGGAATGTCCTACTTCATATACATCATAATATTTAAACTGAAATTCTTCCCATTTATGAATTTACTTGTATTAATTGTAATCGTTGGAATTGGATCAGACGATGCCTTCATATTTATGAAAATATGGCATTGTGTTTATACGGAACGGTTCCGCAAAAATCAGAATACACCTCTCACACCATCATCATCATTTGCTTCTGAGCCATATGGCGATTCAAGAGATTCTTTAATTGGAGTTATGGCAAAAACGCTAGAGCATGCAAGTTTATCAATGCTTGTAACATCTTTGACTACTGCTGCAGCTTTTTATGCATCTTTCGAAAGCTCGATCACCGCCGTTAGATGTTTTGGAATATTTGCAGGAACAACAGTTATGGTAAATTACTTATTAATGATAACATGGCTCCCAGCATCAGTGTCAATATCGGAGAGAATTTATTGCTTTAGTCGGAGCTGGTTTATCAATTTTGGATATTTCTCAGCACCAATAGATAAAATTTTCAAATTCTACAGTCAATTAAGCGGTAGAATCGAAAGCATGATTGTTACATTAGTCATCAATTATTCAGTTCTATGGATTCTCCTGTTGGGAAGTTTTGGATTACTAAGTGCTGGATTTGTGCTGTACTGGCCTAAATTAGAATTGCCTGACACTCCAACATTTCGTCTTTTTGTAGATAATCATCCATTTGAAATTTATGAAACTAAATATAGAGATCTGTTCTGGTTTGAGAAAATGTATACATCGTCTGATAGTTTTAAGCTTCCGATTCGATTTATTTGGGGTGTGAAACCAGAGGATAATGGCAACTACTTAGATCCAACGTCACGAGGAAAATTACAGTTAGATAATTCATTTAATGTATCTGCACCCGAAAGTCAAGTGTGGCTTTATGAGTTTTGTAGTCGCTTAAAGCGTCAACCGTTTTATCAAATGTCATTTGGATTACTAGTGCCAAATTGTTTCATTGAGAATTTAATGTCGTGGATGGCGCGAAAGTGTAAAGATAGTATGAGTGATATAGATCGCAATCCGTGTTGTGAATCATCAACATTCCCATATGCACCTGATGTATTTGATTACTGTTTGCCTGAATCAATTTTCGCTCTTTATGAGACACCTCGAGAATTCTTCATTCCTGGTGTTGCTGGTCCGAAATTTCAAATTGTAGAACGAACAAATAGCAGTATTATAACACAAGTAAAAGCATTAGTCGTGGAGTGTGATAGTAATCAATCTTTTAGTCACTCATATAGTGAAATGGAAACATTTGTAAACAATGTTCAGACATGGTTTCAAAAAGAACTTTCTAAAGCCCCCCCTGGCATGAAAAACGGATTTTTTATTAGTGAATTAGATTTTTTTGATCTTCAAGAGACTCTTTCAAAAGGTACAACGAAAGCTCTACTAATGGCAATGAGCGTTGCACTCTTAGTGTTATTATTGGTCACCCTAAATGTGCTTGTATCTCTTTATGCTATAATAACTGTCACATTAACGATATTTTCAATTGTCGGAACACTTGTATTGCTTGGATGGAAATTAAATATTTTAGAAAGTGTAGCAGTGTCCACAGCTATAGGATTAGCTGTAGACTTTAGTCTTCATTATGGTGTACAATATCGATATTCAAAAGAAAATGATAGAAAATCATCAACAAAGTTTGCACTTCAAATGATAGGACCTACTGTTATGGCAGGTAAAATATATATATATATATATATATATATACATATACATATTTGAATGTTTTAACCGAATTCCTTACAAATTTTCACAGCCATAACAACTGGTTTTGCTGGTGTACTGATGCTTCCATCAAGTGTCCTTGCATATACTCAAATTGGTGTATTTTTGGTCGTTGCAATGAGCATTAGCTGGATATTTTCAACATTTTTTCTTATGAGTCTATTATCCCTTTGTGGTCCTGAATATGGATTTGGTCAATTTTCATTTAGTGCTGCGATTAATTTTAAAAATGGAAGAAATGAGGCAAAAAATATTAAAAGTCAAATTGAAGCAATTAACAATAAAATTCAACAGCAGAGTAATGAACAATTACTGTCCGCATCTAGCTCTGCTGCTTGTGATTTTTTGGATTCAGAAAATCACGAAATGGAAATGGATTCATTGTCGAATTCTGTAGTCAAAACAATCAGCATTAATAGTTCAACGACCATGCCATCGATATCATCTATGCGACAACTATCGCTTGATCGATCATTTAAAAAGAAAAATGTATTCGTAAAGGATACAAGTCCTTCTACAAACTCGACCGTGACTGTCTGCCAAATTGACGATGATTCAGACTTTTATAAACTTTAAATAATGAAGGAAAAAAAACATATATTTAGGAAATTAAAATAGATATTTTAATGCGCAACAATATTTTTATTCAAGAAATGAATACTACAAGAAAAAAATAGAAAATCAATTTTTAGAACCGCTCAATATAGAATATACTCTTATATTATAAAAATTGAAAAAGACATCTCATGGAAAATTTGCATTCGCTTTTATATTTAGGAATGTATTCTAAGTTTCTTGCCCTCATTTTGAAAAGTCAAAACTTTATTCGTCCATTAGTTTATAGAACTAAATTATGTTGTAAGGCTGAATTTTTCTAAATTTCCTTTAAAAATATATTACAATTTTTTTATCACTCATTAATATAAATTCTATCTTTAAGATTGTTTTTAAAAAATACTTTTAATATCTTTAAAGGCAATTAAAAAATCTTACAAAGTTTTAGTACATTTTGGAAAATTTACAAATAAAATTTTAAAGATATTTTATTAGTAAAATAAGAAAATGATGAAAATAGAATGACATGTTAAAATTTAAAGACTTAAAAGAGATGTGAAAACGAGTCGTTTTATAATTAGGTTAAATAATACTCTGACTATATCTCGGTGTTGTTTATTGAAGGAAAAAAAAAAATGAAACTTTTTCAATGTTTAATCTGCAATGAAAATAATATTGGAAGTTCATCGATGCATTAATACTAAGGATCAATTCTTAATATTCTAGACAAAACTTTTACAATTCAGAAAATAATTATTTTAAAGCTATTTTTTTTTTTGATTGTTTATTGCTTTATTGAAGCCTGGTAGGCTTACCCTTCAGCTTTAATCTAAACTATTAAGTTTATGCCCGGATTGACACCTGTTGACATAAAATCTTGAGTGATTAAAATAATGAATATTTTGAATTAATTTTTAGTGTATACATCTTTGTAGAAATTCTTGCGGATTAAACATTGCTAATAAATGAGCTTTTAATAAATTATTTTGCTCAATTAAATGGTAAAGCAAATCGAATTTTAAGTAATGAAAAAATTGACTTTGAAGATTTTTTTTAAAAGTTGAGATTTTCTGTTTTTTCTAAAAATCAAACGATGTTTTTTTTAAGATGATCAAGCTTGCTTACTCGTCCTACATTTACATCTCCACATAAAATTCCAAAATGTAAAGTCTTTCTAAATGTGAATTTATTATAAATTAATCAAGATAATTAAAAAAATCATTCATGCCAATATTTTTAACTTCTGAAAAAACTATAGTTTGTAACTCAAGTTAATGCCAAAAATCAAGGGTTGTTAATAAGATTTTAATATTTTTAATATAATTATTCATGAGGATAGATAAAAATAGCTGTTAATGGATGGAGCAAAACTCTTATTAACAAACCTTTAATTTCAATTAGTTACCTTAAAAACAACCCTGGAATTAATTTTCTAATTTTTAATTATTGATGAAATAATGACAATACAGTAAACAAATGAATCTTTGTAGAAATGATCAGTTTCATGTTCTCAATAACCCGAATTTGAGTTACTTTAATATTAAAGTTAAACAAAAATAATAATTATATAATACGTAAATATTTTCAAAAAAGGACATCGAAAATATTTACAATAATTTTAGTAATTTTAAGCACAAAATGTGTCGAATCTTGCAAACAGTATCTAAGCAAATATAAAACACAAAAAATACAAAAAACAAAAATATTTATGTGAAAAGAATCGTTAAACAAAAAACAAAAGAACCTTATCGTTGCATGAGAGAAGAAAATGGAAAAGAAATTTTTGTTGTGTAACTGTGATAGTCAAATACAAAAAAAAAGGAATTAAAAAATAAAATAAAAAAAAGATGATGTAAATGAAAAGTAATTTGCACGTGTCAAGTTATTAATTTATCTTTTATTATTTAAATTCAAATAATTCGCATTAAAAAAATTACACAGTTTGAAGCAACTTAGTTGTCTGTAAATGATTTAATATTTATAATGTATAATTTTTGTAATTATTTGGTTTTGCAATATTTACAGGTGCTTTAATGATTTATGGATTGTATTAAAGGAAAAAACCTGTATGAATCACATCCAAAATAGTAAACACCGGCTGAGTCAAGCTTAGAAAATAATTTTGAATGCATTTAGAATCATTCTCGAAGCATTTGACATTTTGTGTATTGTATATACATTGATTTTGATGCTCTTACCAAGTTAATTTGTTTGAAAATTTTGGTCAAAATATCAATCCTGAAATCCTTAACACTTTTAACGAAATATTGCACGAAATTTTAAAATGTGAATTTTCAATCTAAGGGGCCGTTCACTTATTACGTTACGCAAAAAAACGACTTTTTTCACCCCCCCCCCCCTCCCCCTTGTTACAATATGTTACAACTCACACCCCCCCCCCCCCCCCCCTGAACGTTCATAATACAACTTTGAATGTAAATATCACAGTGATGGGATCATATTAATCATCATATAAATGACAGATTACTTTTAAACTTATGATTGATTTAATTTTGAAAATTTCCACAAATTATGCTTGTATTTTAAAGTCTTGTAAACCAGTTTTCAATTGATTTGTTACTTTATATAACAAAACCATGTATTAAGTAAACAAATTTTTTTCGTGAACTTTTTTTTAAAAGAATGTCGTCTTTCATTTAAAAAAAAGTTCACGAACGTTACAAACTTCTTGACACCCCCCCCCCCCCCCCTATGTTACATTTTGTTACATTTTTTCTAACCCCCCCCCCCCCCAAATTTATATTCAAATTAAATGATATTCAATGATTTGAATTCAATGATATTTCGACAAGGAAAATGGGGTCTAAAAATCTCATTTTCAATGGACATAATTCATAAACTGCCCCTCACAGGAAGATATAGGTTTTAAAACACATTTATTTGTCGATGAAACTTTTATTGATCTCTTAGAAATTCCCCATTACAAATTAAACAATAGTATCCAGGATGTTAAAAGCTTGAAAATGGGAATATCATATTCGAGTCAAATTCATACTGGATAACTTGACTGTCTCTAAAAATTTGACATTTAGTATTTGTTGAATTCTGTAGATTCTGGATTATAAATAATTCGAATTTTGATCAGATTGTTAATGTTTAAATTGCTTGAAATTTCTATTTAATTTAGGATACTATGCGCAATTACTTTACTTAAATTCTTAGAAAATCCACTTTGCATTCTTCAGAAAAACAATTATTAAATATTGACAAAAGTTATATTATAGATAAAAGTAAACGCTCGTGTCGTTGTTATAAACACTTACATGTGAGCTGAAGTGACAAGACTACAATCATGGCTGAATTCATGGATTTCGAGGCTCGACATGGAAAATTTTTTGCTTGTTCTTTTTCGAACCAGTATACTGGAAATGAAGATCAGCCTTTTTTTTAAAAAAGTTCATTTATTTATATAAAACTTGTGTACATAAAGTTGTGTTATAAATTTTACCTTCATTTATAGACTACAGGCAGTAATGTAATCGAAGGAGTAGTTCAGATCCTACTATAAACTGTATGTCTAGGTTTAAGTCAGTGGTTTGGCGCATCCTTACTCGTTAAACTACCATTAGCTGAAACCGACTCTGTATCAGAATTGATCTGAATAGGTAAAGGTTTTTAAAAAGAGAAATTATTAATTTGAAATTAAAATTAGTACACAGAATGCAATAAAAGACAAGCTTTAGATTACAGGAATACTAAGGGTTGCAAAAACAAATTCTGTTTGGCAGAATATGTGCATTTAGGTTTGACATTTTTCTGTGATATGCAAGGTAAAGCAAAATGAAAAGCACATTGAGGTCGAAGAAATTGCAGGCATTGTAAAATAAAACTTCCAACGAGCTTTCAAAATCAAAAAAAAGTTCCATTCTAAAGTAATATTTGTTTAAGTTTCTTTCTCAAATGAACAACATAATTTTACTAACAATATTGTAAGATGTAACGAAGTGTGAATTGTGTCGATGCAACACATTTTCTAATGAAACACGGAAATTTTACACAACAAACAATATTGTAAAAAAATCCCATTTTTAGACGTGCATTGAATGCATTGAAAAGTGTGATCTTTCTTTATGAACTCGATGGAACTCACACGTTCACATTTGTATTAATAATTCTTTAATGTCATAAGATTATTGAATCTGTAAAATGAAAATACTAAAAGAAGAACGAGAAAACAGATGACTAATGCAGAAGATACTTCCTAAAACATCTTTAGAAACGACTTAAATAGGTAAATCCCAATCAACAGATGATAGAAGTAAAAACCGGCGTCTTCGTAATAAAATTTGCATAAGCTCATAAAATATTCCGAGTGCTTATTTACAGCTAATGTCTAATATTGTTTTTGTTGTTAGAAGAATTAATCAACAACGTCTGTTCGTCCACTTGCTTTAAAATAAATGCAAATTTTATAACATGTTTTTAAAAATCTTTAATGCAATGTGAATAGTGATATGAAAAAGAATGAAGTATATTGTAGGTGTGTGTAAAAAAGTAACGGTTATAGTTAAATGATTTACGTCTTCCCCATAACCTTCGATAATGATCATAATCATATGGACAAGTAATGATGTATAAACATAAATATTTAACTTGATTAAAGTATCTTTTTTACGACCGTTCGTTCGTTTTGTTGATATCGAGCCCTGTACAATACTATAAACTTTAAGTTGTATCGTCTCGTTACGCATACCACTTAAACTTCATTCAAAAGAAATGTGAAGTGTATTGAGCGATATACAGAAAGGTGTATGAAGAGCGTAAAATAAAACTTCAAGTAGCTAGATCTGAATTATTTACGAACGTTGACGACGTTTCGTTTATTCAGTTGCCATCGTACCGTGTTAGTATAAAAACGTGTTTTCTCACAGCTGAGGATAAATGAATAATATTTTTTTGTGAAATAAAATAAAAGCGGTTTAAGCTCTTTTTTAAAGTGAATTTAAAGGAGGAAGTTAAATCGTAAAAGACTTGCATTTAACTTCAATTTCCAATTTTGTAAAACAAATAGTTAATTATATTAGCTGTGATAAAGAAATAAGCAGGAAAAAAATTACAAAGTATAAAAATGAATTTAACAGACATAATGGAAACAAATTTCTCAGACATAAATTTGTTAAGTGATGATCATGAAGATCATGACCATACTGCAACAAATATTGCAAAAGGAATCACAATGTTCGTGTTATTTATCATATCAATGACTTCAGGACTTTTACCAATGTTCTTGTCAAAATTCTTCAATTGGTCAGATCCAAATCGAGATCCACGTGCAAATTTACTTACATCATCATTGCTATCGTTTGGAGGTGGTGCCTTGCTTGCCACGACATTTATGCATTTATTACCAGAAATTGATGAAAACATTACAAAGTTACAAAGTGAAGGACATTTACCAAAATGGGAATTTTCAATTACAAATTTATTAATGGCAGTCGGTTTCTTCATTATTTATTTCGTGGAAGAGCTTGTTCATGCTTATTTGAGAAATCATCAGAAAAATAGACAGAAAGCTCAAGAAGCATTTATTCGTGGTCATAGTGCTAGAGAAAGTTTAAAGCGTGCTGCATTGCGCCACGATCATGAGAAAAAAGACACCAATAATGGAATCATTACAGTTTCAACAGCTGATCTTATTGACAATGAACATGTTGATCATTCACACCAGTCACAAAGTCATAATCATACTCATTCTCATGAGCATCATCACCATTCACATATTCCAGTCATTGACGGTGATGACTTGATTGTTTCTTCAATCCGTGGTCTTCTAATCGTTATGGCATTATCAGTTCACGAATTATTTGAAGGATTAGCCGTTGGATTAGAACACGAACCAGGAAATGTTTGGTACATGTTTGCATCAGTTGCAGCTCATAAAGTTGTCATTGCATTTTGTATTGGAGTTGAATTAATGGTCCACAAGACACAATCATGGCTTCTGATTGTTTACGTTTTTATCTACGCAATCGTTTCACCTTTGGGAATTGCAGTAGGAATTTGGGTTAGCAATGCAGGAGATTCTGAAGGATTTGCTATTGCTTCAGTGATATTACAGGGACTTGCTTCAGGAACTTTACTGTACGTGATATTCTTTGAGATTCTCGCAAAACACAAGGAAGGCGTCGCACAATACACTGCAGTTGTATTTGGATTTTTCCTTATGTTTGGATTTAAATTTATTGGTAAGTCACTTAACCCAATTCTCTAGTACTAGTGCATTTTGAAATATACCAAACTTTCTTTTATAGGGGGTCACAGTCATTCACATGATGACCATGAAGACGAACACGATGATCACGATGATCATGATCATTAAAAAACCTGTAATTCTACCAAAAAATGTATTTTATTTTTAAATGTATATAATACATATGCTTGAATTGCATACATATAAAATATTCTTTAGCAACATCTACAAAAAGTGTTAAAGAATGAGAAAAACAAAAGAGACTATAAAAAGATTGTCTTTAAACACAAGCATTATGCAGAAGTGATTCGTATGTCAAAATGTACAACGAAAATTGTAAAATATTTTTTTAATTTATTTAATACATACAATTAAGAATAGAACCGAAAAGTTTAAGAAATTTTTATTCATTAATTTTCAGTTAAATTATCAGCAGCAAATGTATTTTTCCTTTCATCTATGAGTATTAATTTACACTTAACCTTGAATAGCTCTATGGATTATTCCTCAGTGCTAACATTATTCAATTTATGCGAGAATTGTTTGTCCTATTTCAACATCAAGCGCAAAATAATTTTTTCCAGCTATTTTCATGCTTTTTAAGCTTTATAAAAATTAGTCATTATTCAAGTATTTTATTCTTTGTGACAATATCTTTGCGATGAAGAAAAGAAAGCCAACAAAAGATGATAACATAGATAATGAAGCGTTCAAAATTTAAAAGCAATTCAAATTTATTAAGGTAGCTCGTAAAAAAATCATAAAGAATTGTGATGTACTTTAATGGACTTCAATATAAAATCACGTTTTGGTACACTGATGGTTTCATTTTGCATTCGTTGAGAGTAGAAAATGAGCCAATACAATAACTAGTCTTAAGATTAAATTCTAAGACTGCTTTTTTAATCCATCAAATTAAACATTTTAGAAATTTCGTTATAATCATTTAGGTATGCTATAAAAATGACTTCAAAATGCTAATAAACCGGTCTAAGATTTCTTAGAATCTGACGACATTTAAGAACGACTTTAATTATTATTTGCTAAAATACATTGTCTTTAATCATCAATTTGATTTTCTAAGTTGCACTTTTTTATTAACATGATTCAACAAAAGAAGCAACCCTGCCTGGAACCATGTCATAAATATCAAAAAATTAAACTACTACTACAACATACTCCTTTAATTAACCCACCCTCATCACATTTCCTCTTACTTGAATTTTCCGGGAATGTTTGGAAGACTTACTGCTCAATCTTGTATATTTCAATTAAAGTTGCTGTCGATTCCGACAAGAAAATTAATTAAAATTAAATTAAATTTATACCTCAATCTAGAAATCCCTAAAATGCAGCTACCCTAATATTCAGATAGTATCTAAGATGCAGATGGTACTGCTACAGTGCAGATGAAATTTATTTTCCCTAAAATGCAGATGAAATGCTGCTTTATAAAAGGTAAAATGCAGATGATTTTTATCGTATAAAGTGCAGATAAGATGCTGCTTAGATGTAGATCGTATAATTTTATTAAAATACATCATATTCGATGACTTTTTTTCTTGATGCGTGTTAATAAAAAAAAATCCATAAAAATTTTCACCTTCAAGTGATTTAAAATCCCATAAAATCCCCATACAAAATGATTTAAATTATAAATCAAAAATAAATCACTTGGGGAAAATGATTTAAATTTTCCCATATTTTAAACATTTTGATTTTGATTTATGATTTAAATCCCCTCCATGCTAATTACATCAAAATTTTGTGTAGCAAAGTAGTTTTAACTTTTGTTTGAATTTAAAAAATACATTTGTAGATATATCAATGAAAGCTGACAAAGTTTTAACAAAATTCACAAAAAATATTTGTGAGTGACGCTTAATTAAATTAATTTTCTGACATAACGCCTTAACTTTAGGAAGTAAGTTCTATGTCAAAACAAAGCAATTTTTGTTTTCTATAAGATAAAATAATTTTGAAATTTGTTACTATTGTGGTTTCGGAGATATTTAAAAAACCATAACGTCACTCACGAATTATTTTTTTTTGTCGGGGCCCAAAAAATTAATATCCAACGTTAAATCATCTACATTATAACAGCATTTCATCTTTATTTTAATAAAATTATACGATCTACATTTGGGCAGCATCTTATCTGCACTTTAAACGATAATAATCATCTGCATTATACCTTTTTTAAAGCAACATCATTTTAGGGAAAATAAATTTCATCTGCACTTTAGCAGTATCATCTGCATCTTGGCAGTACTATCTGCATATTAGGGTAGCTGAATTTTAGGGATTTTTAGATTGAGGTGTTGCAATTATAAATGATTTAGACAATTTATGTTTTAAACTGAAATTTAGTTTTAATTAAGCTACATGCTTTAATCAAGTATTTTGGACGTCATCCAAAAAAATCGAGAATATTTTAATTAAAACTGCTTATGGTACGATTCATTTGCGTACAACAAATTAGTACCTAAGAAAATAATAAAGTTAAAACAACATCTTTAAATGAGACAGTCTTTGAATTTCTTTCATCAATCTTTTATTTTGGTTATCATAAATTATCACATATTGAAAAATATGTATTAAGAAATTTAGCACATTTTGCCAGATGTTCCAATTGAGCGTTTAATTAATTTAGTGTAAAATTGTTTAACGGTGGTTTCGATAATGAATTAAAATTAAGGGCGATTTAGGTGATTTCCAGGAATTTCATTATTTTCTGTGAATTACAGATGAATAAGAAATAGTTTCGTCCGACAACTGCATTATTAATGGAAGTAAACTTTAAATATTAATTTGAGAAAGAAAAGAAAAGATTGAACCTTAATTTTGACCTTCGATTATCAGCTTTAATCAGTTCGTGATTGAAATCACGTATCCTTTCCAAAAGTACATTGAATTGCTTTCTTTTGAATTAAGTTTAACATGAATGAATACTAAGAAATGCGATTTGGGCATTCCTAAAGATAAGGCAACTATTTTGATTGTAGGTGTTTTGGATGAACAAAATTTTGTATTCGCTTTTCAAATTTTTATGTCATTTGAATCATATTTCTTCTTGATTCAACTATGAATATCAAGTTTATCTTGCACTGAAATTCAAAACACTAAGAATGCTCACTTGCATATTTGTAAATTCGTTGATCTTATTAAACTCTGGACTAAAATGATTTAATGAAAATAGAAAGCTTATAAAATCAAAATTAGCCTATCTACGGAATAGCTCGAAGTTCTTTTTCTTTACTTTTTAATTTTAGACAAAGAAACACTTTCGATTTCTTATAAGAAATGTTGAGTGTAATATAAGAAGATTCATAAGGCAGACATCGATTGATTGTTTTCAATATAATCGTAAAAAAGTTATCAAGGTCAAGAACCGGCAAAAAATAAACTGATTATAAATATTCGCAAAGTCTTTTTAGGAGTAAAAATCAATAGAAATCTAAAATAACAATTTGCATTTTGCTATGGCAACGAATAAAAACAAAGAAATTGATGGGTAGATATTGCGTTCTATAGACTACGTCATGACAATTTATTTCGATAAGAGATCAAATCAAGCTGCTTATGATTTCATTAGGCTACAAAATTTTAAACATTGTTGTCATCTTCTTATTGAAAAGTTATCGTATTTTACTATACAAAAATAAATTTCATTATCGTCACCTGATTGAGGTACTTGACTTTTCTTATTTCTTTCCTCTCATCGCTGTTACTGACTTCGAAACCTAATCGATTTAAGTCAATAAAAGTGTACTGATAAGAGTAATTAAAGTGTGTTTTCAGACTTGGAATAAAAAAATAAGTGGTGTTTACGACTTCGAAACCTTTTCAATTGCTTTAAAAATTCTTCATATATCTACAGTCACGTAGAGATTGAATGATTAAATTAAATGAAAAGCTTTAAATCGATTAATCAAATTTTCACTTCCAATTCGTGATTTTTCTTGCATAATCTGATTGCACAAATAATTAATGGATAGAAGCAGAGTTGGCGATCAATTAGCAGATGAAGTATACAATAGATGATTAAACTCGGTACCTACAGATGAGGATAAAGGCTACCAATATGCTTCCGGTGTTTTGCCAGTTATAGCTTACCAACTCTGAATGAGTTGGAATTAAGTTTTGAAAATAATACGACATGAAAATTCTATGAAATTGCTGCTCAAAAAATCATAGGTTTTCCTTCAAATGAGGACATTTTATATATAAACAAGTTTTATATTGTTATAGAACATCCATCATTTTTAAGTATTCTTAATGACAAATGACAGCCGAAAACTCGAATAAGTATCTAGACATTTCTTGAATTTTAAATGTGCTTTGTTCTTTAAATTTAATTTAATTTACAAATATTTTAAAGAGTGCAAGCATTTATTAAACTGATCAGTATGATCCAGTATGGTCGTTTAGAATGTATGAAAAATCAAAGCTTAGAATTTTTTTCAAATAGTATAAAGATCAGTTAAGAATTTCAAAAGCTTTGTTCAAGCAGTCAATTTTAAACTTGTATCCTCAACTTGTATGCAATGTTTTCTTACAATTTCATATAAATCCTTAGATTTAAATAGTTTATGACGAATTTCTGCAATAAAATTATTCTCTTGTGTTTAACAATTCTTATAAAATTTAGATGTGATGATTGACTTGCGACAAATGGACTTGTAAACAACAATTGATCGATTAAACTAATTCGATCACGAAGGGCTGAATGAATTATTTATTTTCATGTATACAATTACATTTTATAGCAACAAATACATTAGCTTCTATTCAGTTAGATAATTAGAAGTTAAATAGACAGGCATTCAAAGATCATCGACACTTTAGAATGTTAATTTTGCATTCTCTAATTTTTTTTAATTAGCATGTGAAATTTTAAAGCATTTCGATTAATGTGATGTGTATGCAACAGTGTAACGGTAAAGTTTGTAGAAAAAAATGTTTGTTGTTTCTTCGTTCCTTAACATCGCCGAAAAAAAAATGTAAATATAATATACCGGCTCAACGAACTTGATCTTGGCAAACAAACAAATTTGCATAAATTTATCACAGCATGAAAGATCACCGCTTCTTCCTGTTTATATTCATCTTTTTTTTTGCTCTGGTTAACGGCATCTTTTAATTTTGATAAATTAAATATCGAATTATTATTATTTGTGCCAAATAATAGCAATTTTTAAATAAAGATCTGCAATAGAAAATTAATCTTAAAAAGATATAGATACAGTTTATTTTAGTAATAACCAGAGAAAGGTTTATTAATGCATTGAGAATTCAAATTCTCTTTCATTCAGACCATTCCCATAAAGACACATAACAAATGATTATTAAGATGAAGAAAGAAGCGATAGTGAAAGAGCCAACCAGTTATTTTTAAGGTTTTAATGAAACTCAAAAAAAAAATTCTAAAGTTGCTAGTAGAAGGAAGAATTCGATGACAGAGAAGCAGCATGTGTATAAATAAACGAACCTGAAGCGATCGCAGTTTATTGTTAAAGTGAATCTCGATCAGCTCGGTTGTTTTCAATATTCTTCAACATGGGTAAGTTCTTGTTCTTTTTTTGGTGTTACTTTTCGTTTTTGGAATATCATAAAAAGTGCGTTGCTTAAAAACTCCCAAGAAAATAACTGTAAAAAGTGAAGTGAAAGAGGGATTTGACGATTAAGTTGCATGCTAATCAAATGATACTTATAAATTTTCAAAATGTTGAAGTCTTGAAATTTTAAGCAATAAAAAAGAGGTCAATTATTAAAAAAACCAGCATGAAATATTAACTGCCTGTGCAATTATAGCTTGCAATCAGAAAGAACGCAATTTATCGAAAATAATTTGAAAAAAAAAATATTTGATCCTGACAAGACGAAGTAAAATTCTGTATTTTATTGAGCATTATCAAAACGAATATTTTGTTCAATGAACTTAAAAGGAGTCGCTTACTAATGATGTCCGAAATTCTAAAGGAATCTTAAGAAGTAAAACATTACTTAAATTTTTTAAGAGGCTTCTACTTACTCTACTTACTCTAGTTGTTCTGGTTTCCTTTGCTAGGATATAATAGCATCTGGATGATTTCATTACAGCATCTTGCGTACACGAATAGTGACTAGGTACATTCCATGGTGCATCAGGTCTTTAAACGTACTCATGTCTTTGCAATATGCAGAGCTTGCAAGTGGTTCGGATTTCACTATAAACTGTAGGTCAAAAGGGTGTGGTACAATAGATTATGTTCTAATTTGACTCGTAGTGCTTCCAGCTCAAAAGACTGGGCCCTTCCCGTGTTGTACCTTTTTTTAACCTGTTTGTTCTGAAATTTCATAACTTTGATGAGCATCACTTGTAAAAAACCCCAAATTTTTCAACGTTTTATTCGTTTCCATTTTGAATTTGAATATCATCAATTTATTGGTTCTTTAACTTAGTGAGTCAGCAAAGATATGAATATTAAGTGTTGTTAATATCATGCAGATGTGATAATGTTTTTTGTTGCTCACAAAAAAATACGGAAATTCTTTGCATTTTTCGTTAAAAATTTAATGAATCAAGAACCTTTTTGTTCTGGACGATAGAACTAGCACGTATTATCAACTTTGTCATGCAAATTATTTATTTTAAAGACGTATTGTGCGTCTATACAGCAAGCTCATGCAAAATCAATCAATATGAAGTAAATGCATATTCAATGACAGTAGTTCTCAATGAATAACAATAGGGAAGAAATAAAACAAAGAAAATATGAATTAAAATAAAAAATGTGATAATTATAATGAAAAAAAAAAGTAGCTGACAAATGATTGACTAAATGAACATGTCGCATGCTATATCAGATGATTAAAATGTTTATTTTTATGACAATTGGCAGGTAATTATCACCGAATAGTACTTGGTATTATTATTTACACATTTCTACATGGCTCATCATTCACTGATGCAGAAGGTAAAAAATATTAACTTTCCATCTAAACTTCTCAATTCAAATCAATAAATTCTTCTTTTTTTTTTCAACATTTAAATATAGGCACAGCCAAAATTGTTTGCTACTTCAGCAATTGGGCTGTTTATAGACCAGGAATGGGACGTTATGCCATCGAAGATATACCAGTTGATTTATGTACACACATCGTATATTCATTCATTGGTGTAGATGATAAAGCATGGAAAGTTTTGGTGATCGATCCCGAGGTAAATGAACTTTAAAATTTACATAAATGCTGTACCATATTTCCATATTAATGGTCCATTTATTCAAAACAGCTTGATGTTGATCAGAATGGATTCAGAAACTTTACGGGTTTAAAAAAAGACCATCCAAATGTAAAGTTTATGATAGCTGTTGGAGGATGGGCAGAGGGTGGTGAAAAATACTCTGCAATGATTTCATTGAAGAGTCGTCGAGATTCATTTATTGCAGCTATTATAGAGTTCATGAAAATGTATGACTTTGATGGATTTGATTTAGGTACGCATCACATTTCCTATCGGCTGATTACAATCATTTATAAATATTTGAAATCTTTAGATTATGAATATCCAGGTGCAACAGATCGTGGTGGAAAATTCTCAGATAAGGACGTCTGGTTCTATTTTGTAGAAGAACTTCGTAAAGCTTTTGATAGAGAAGGACGAGGTTGGGAAATAACAATGGCTGTTCCTGTTGCTAAATTTAGGCTGCAAGAAGGTTATCATGTACCAGAATTATGTGAACTTCTTGATGCAATCCACTGTATGACATATGATTTGAGAGGTAATTGGGCTGGATTTGCAGATTCCCATACACCTCTTTATAAACGTCCACATGATCAATGGGCTTATGAAAAACTAAATGTAAATGATGGCGTACAGTTATGGGTTGATATGGGATGTCCACCAAATAAGCTTGTTATTGGAAATGCATATTATGGTCGAAGTTATACTTTAAGTGCTGGAAATAATAACTATAATTTGGGTACATACATTAACAAAGAAGCTGGTGGTGGCAGTCCTGGTCCATATACTAATGCTACTGGTTTCTTAGCATACTATGAGGTAAGTTTTTAAATTCTATATTAAACATCATTTAATTAATTCTTAAACTAGATTTGTGAGGAAGTTCAAGACCCTGCAAAAGGATGGACAGTGAAATGGGATGAACATGGTAAGGTACCATTTGCTTATAAAGGAACTCAATGGGTAGGATATGAAAATGAGAAATCATTACAAATTAAAATGGACTGGATTAAAGAAAAAGGCTATGCTGGTGCCATGACATGGGCAATTGATATGGTAATTAAATTATTTAAATTTTAATAATGAAATAAAAATTTAAATTTTGTGTCATCCCTAATTGAAAGGATGATTTCAACGGAGTATGTGGAGAAGTAAATGCCCTTGGAAAGATTATGTACAACAATATGGTAGACTACGTAGTTCCAAAGCCAACAATATCAACAACACCACGACCAGAATGGGCAAGGCCACCATCAACTCAAGCATCTTTTGATGATCCTTTACCTGTAACCAAACCGTCTTCAATGAAGCCATCCAAAAAACCAACAAGAAAACCGACTACTACAAATACCAGCACCACAGTTGCAACAACAACAGAAGAAATTATAGTTCAAACAGAAAGTACAGTTAAGCCTTCAAGAAAACCATCAAGAAAACCTTCAAAAACAAAGAAACCTAAAAGAACAACTACCACTACCACGACTACCACCACAACAGAGGAGCCTGAACCCGAGGAACCTGAGCCAGAAATTCCAGAAGAGATGCCAGAAATTCCAGAAGAAGTCCCCGAAGAAGTTGAATCACCAGTTGATGAGGTCGAAGTTCAACAGGACACGCTTGATGAATCAGGCGCACCAAATTGTGAGGATCCTAAGATAAATAAAGAGCACATCTATCCCAATCTTAAAGACTGTACAAAGTTCTTCCGATGCGATCATGACAAATACGTCGAGTTCAACTGTGAAGCTGGAACTGTATTTAACGAAAAATCTCAAGTTTGCGACTGGCCCACAAAAAAACATCGAAAAACTTGCAAACAAGCTTTCTTAAAACTAAAAGAAGGTGATGAAATGACAACCGAGACTGATGAAACCACAATGATCTATACTCAAGACAAATCAAGTGATAAAGATTATAACGAAGTTGAAGTTTAAATTTCAACTCTTGTTAAGTTAAGCGCCATTTCTTTCATAATATTTGATTGAAAGTATGCATTTATTTTTATAATTAATTGAGATTATATAAAGAGTTCAATGCTCTGTGCCTTAATATTGAATAAATTTCTATGAAACTACACAATAACAATTAAGTATTGAATAATTTTATCACATCTTTGATGATGTAGAATTTTCCTTCTGTTGCTTCAAATTAAGCAATCTCAATTTCCTTGATTTCAAGTTCATCAACTTTGATTCATATTCACGTGACACACTTATTCATTCGTTAATATTTGACATATATTTTTAATTTATTTGAGTTGTTTGCTTTTTCCCATGATCACTCATTTCTTTATTCTTGATAACCCTAACTGACCATTCCTTATAATTTTTAATTTCAATATGAAAACAAATTGCTCAATTTTTTCAGTCTATAATTAGTTTGCATCTGTATTTGACCGAGTGAACATTTAAAATTAAATGAAGATATTTTTGTTTGTTCTTCTATATTTTACTATGCATGGAATTTTCACACTAATTCTTGTGTCACCGCTTCTTACACTTTCATACAATTGTGAAAACATTACAGTCAATTTTCCGAGTAATTTTATTTTTGCAACATCTACTTCCGCATATCAAATTGAAGGAGGATGGAATGAAGATGGAAAAAGTCCAAGTGTTTGGGATACTTTTACTCATAAACGTCCTGAAAAGATATTTGATCATTCAAATGGTGATATTTCAGTCGATTCATATAATTTGTTTAAAAAGGATGTAGAAGCATTGAAAAGTATTGGAGTAAGTTTAGGACTTGACTAAATTATCTGATAGGAAAAGTCAACAGTACAGTTGACAAGCCTCTTTTTGTTTATTTCCCCTATCACCGAGTTTTTGACATGTATAAATTACTGATAATTTTTATATTTCCAAGTTCCAACAATATAGATTCTCAATTTCATGGCCACGAATCGTTATCAATGGAACTAAAGTAAACATAAAAGGCATTGATTATTATAATAAATTAATTAATGATTTACTTCGAAATAATATTGAGCCTGTTGTGACAATGTTTCATTGGGATCTTCCTCAATACCTTCAAGATTTAGGGGGATTCACAAATCCTTTAATTGTAAATTACTTTGAATATTATGCCAATATTTTATTTGAAAATTTTGGTGATCGTGTTAAAACTTGGATAACTATCAATGAGCCAATGACATTTTGTATTGGTGGATATAGTGAAGGTAGAACAGGTCCAGCAGTTGAAGCTCCAGGAATTGGAGAATATTTATGCGGTCATTACTCTCTATTGTCTCACGCAGCTGCATATCGTTTGTACAAAAATAAATTTTATGAACAACAAAAAGGAGAAATTGGACTCAGTTTAAATCTTCGATACTCCTATCCAAAAGATGACAGTGTTAACAATAGCTATGTAAATCAAGTTCTTGACTTTACAGTAAGTGATAATAATTACACTTGCTTAAAATATTTTAATTAATAATTTTAATATATAGAATGGATGGCTACTTAATCCCATTTTTGGAGATAAAGGAAATTATCCAGAAGAAATGATTGAGCTTTTTAAAAGAAAAAGTGTCAACGAACAAATGTGGTCAAGATTACCAATTTATAGCAAACAAGAAATTGAAAATCTTCAGGGATCTGCAGACTTTTTGGGAGTTAACTATTATACTAGCCGATTAGCTGCTCCAAAAAATAGTGGAAGTGATTTTTCACCTTTCTTTGATAATGATATAAATGTAGAATTTCACGTGGATGAATCATGGATTAAAGGAAGTACTAATTGGATGTACGTTGTACCAGAAGGTCTCTATGATCTTCTAATTTGGATTCGAGAAAAATATAAAAATCCAAAAGTTTTCATAACAGAAAATGGATTTCCTGATCTTTCTGGTATAAATGATGTCGGTCGTATTAATTATGTTAAGCACCACCTTTTATCCGTATCAAGAGCTATAAAAAGTAATTGTAATGTTGTTGGATATACTTATTGGAGCTTACTTGATAATTTTGAGTGGTCTGATGGATATACACAGAAATTCGGATTGTTTTATGTTAATATAAGTAGTGAATCGAAAGATCGAGTTCCAAAAAGCTCCGCACAATTCTTTAAGGAATTGATTAAGAACAGAAAATTTACTATGTGAACGCACAATAAGATTATATGAGAATTTTATTTTTGTGGAAGAAGAACTATAGAAATGAAAATAAAATAAATCTTATAAGTAAGTAGTACTTATAAAAAAAATAAATTCAAAATAAAAGATAAATTCAAATTTTGACAAAAAAAGATTAGAAATAAAATGAAGAGACTCGTTATATTATTTCTTGTACTGCTTACTTATTTTTGTTTTAAATTCACACTCAGTATTAAAAATTTGACAGTAAATTTTCCATCAACATTTAATTTTCGACTGCAACGTCCGCATATCTTGATAAAATAGCTGAAGGGTATCACTTTAATGTTAATATTATTGTAGATTCATATCATTTATATGAAAAATATAAACAAGCATTTAGAAGTATCGGTGTAAGTATTAAAGCCCAAAAAACTGAAACTGTCTCATTTATAAATTTGTAATCATTAAGTCGCTCGTGTATTAGTATTACTATATTACTTTTTTAAGTTTCGTCACTATAGATTCTCAATTTCATGGTCCCGCATCGTTATCAACGGAACAAAAATAAGCCAGAAAAGCATTGACTTTAACAATAAATTAATCAATGCTCTGCTTAAAAAAAATATTATGCCTATAGTTTTATTTATTATTTTTACCTTCCAAAATAGCTACAAAACTTGGGTGGATTTACAAATCTTTTAATTGTTAAATATTTTGAATTTTTTTTTTTTTTTCATTTTAATTGCACTTTATTGCATTTATTGACGACATACTGTCCGGAAATAATTCACATTTTACACTTTTGTATTTGTATACATATGAATTAGTATTATGTAGGATCAAACTTCTAATCTTCATATCTAGGTTTCAAATAAACTAAGGCTCTCGTTTCGATCTTCTGTGGGCGTGAAGTGATACTTTTCAGGTCCGTTCTATCAATATTCCATTCGTGGGTAATCTTGTAGCTCTCGTTCCTATTTCTCCCGCTACACTTCAAGTTCCTGACCCGTTCCTTAATCCAACGTTGCCCAAATGCCCAATTATGGCTTGATCTCGTACATTAAGCAGTCGAAGTATCTAAACTTCCGAAAAAGAACAAATTTGGAAATGGCTGGATTCGAACCGACGACCTTCGAGTTACCATCCCAAATTTGAGCCAAGCGCCTTACCTATTCGACCAGCAAGGCACTTAACTGCTTTTTTTCAAAAATTTCGGTAAGCATGTTAAGAATTGGATAAGAATCAACGAACCTATATTATATTGCGTTGAAGGGTATGCGAGAGGTAGTTCAGGCCCAGTAGCTCATGCACCAAGAATCGGAGAATACTTGTGAGAGCACTATTCTTTTTTTTATGTCATGCAGCAGTTTACTGTTTATATGAAAGAAAATATTTTGCGACACAAAGAGGAGAAATTGGCATTTCTTATGATCTTCACTTCTATAATCCGAGAGATAAAAAAGGTTACCAAAAGTTTTGTAGATCAAACTCTCGATTTAATTGTAAATTCTTGTCATCAGTTTCAAGGACTATCAGAAATGAATGAAATGTTGTTGGATATGCTTATTGAGGTTACTCAATAATTTTTAATGGTTGGATGGATATTCAAACAGATTCGGACTGTTTTATATTAATATAAGTAGTGAATCAAAAAATCGAGTACCAAAAAGCTCAGGACCATTCTTTAACGATTTAATTCTTAAAAGAAATTTATAATTTGATTTTATAAAAAAAAATAAAAATGATATTAAGCTTTTTATCTTAAAACTTTGTGAAAAAAGCTTTTTTTCTATTTGAATTTATTTTTTCTGTTATGAATTGTTAGTAAAAGAGTCCAATTTCGTTATTGTTAAAAAATTTCAAAAATAAATGTAAATTTTGTACATGCATATTTACACGTTTTAAATATGTTTAATAAATTCATGACATAGCTATTTGATAGCTATTTAAAATCTGGTTTAGAGTATATTTCCTTTAAATTTCAGTTCCGGTTTCCTTCGTCTAGTTTCTAAAGGATTTAGACTAGGATAGTCAGTTTTTTTTTTTCAGAAACAAGTAAAGAACAAGTTTTATCAAAGAGTTTTTTACAATTAAAAAAAACTTTGAGATTGTATAAATTTGAAATTCTAACTATTGGGGGTCCTTGATTTGAGTAGGTGTTTTGTTCCAAAAAAGTCCTATTCAAATAGAATCTACTCAAATCGAATTATTTTTTTTTGTATGAAAAATGTTCCTTACAAAAACTTTTTTTAAATTTTCTATTCATTAATTCTCGTAACTCAAATCGAATCTATTGAAATCTAATCTACTCAAATCGAGGACCCATAGTAGTTTAAAATTCTAGACAAAAAAAAATATATCAGATATTTTCAGCAATTCATATATACATTTTATCTTATAAACTTTAAATGTTCTGTAAAAAAGAAAAATCATTAAGTCCTCTTTAGTTTTTTTCTCCTCAAACAACCACAAAAACTTATTCATAAGCTCTTTAAAGCTCAACATTTTCTTCATCTAAAGATTTCTTTAGCATATATTTTACCTAATACATTAGAGTCATAATCTCCTCATAAACAACATTTGAAAAAAATCAACGGAGAGATTTTAGAATACGAAAGAAAAATTCTAGACCCACTAACATCTTCAAAGCATAACATTTTTTCTATCATTGATATCCTTACAGTTTCCTTAGAAAAATGAAAAGCATAAAATGTGCGAATTTCTATTCATATGATGTTGGTACAAAATCATTGAATGCAAAGCAATTATTGAAGAAATAAAAAGGCTGTTTGTAAATCTCTCCAAATTTGAATGGAAAGGAAAGCGCAAGTGCCGAGAGAAATTTCATTATTAGAGTACTCTCCTGCGGTATTTTTGCTAAATTTCCTAAAAACTTTTGTATGTAAGAAAGGAATAGAATGATGAAAAGTTCTCTCATGCTCACCAAAAAGATTTTTGTAGACGAGGAAATCGAAGTGAGTTCCAAGCAGTTTATTTATTTGTCTCACTCACTGCAGTCACGTTCAACGGTTAAGAAGTTTTAAAAGTACTTAAATTATACAAGAAGTAAGAAACATTTTAATGGATTAAAGTTGTGAAATTTTCTATTCTGCCTCAAAATATGATCAAAGTGCTAGAAAAATCAATAAAAAGGCAGTTATCGTGTGATTCGTAACATATCGTGGAAAAAAAATAAATTCGTTTTTTAATTAATTCTTTTCAGGTTCATTTTAGTGCGTTTTGTGTAATTAATCACCTTGTTTGAATTTGGCTTGCTTAAAAGTTTTAAAATTTATAACATTAGTGAGAGAAAAAAAGTGAGAAAATAATTCATTTTTTGAGTGAAAATAAAAATATTTAAAAAAACCAAAAAAAAGTTATTCTTGAGTTTAATTGTGTGTTTAAATATAAAGCAAAAAAAAATCTCGTGAATCAATAACGTGTAAAGGAATGTAAATTTTCACTTGTTTTTCTCCCTACATAGCTTTAAAAGAAAGCCACCCAAAAAAAGTTCTCAGAGAGAATAGGAAAGAAAAATTTGCCCTATATTGCATAGTGTTGAAATAGAACAAGATTGAAGGGGAAGTGAAAAGTTCATCAACGACATTTGTTTTTGTTAAATTGACAAAGGAAAAAAAAATCGACATAAAAGGGATATTTTCTAGCAAACCACACTACTAAAAGGTTAGGATGAAAAGAATATAATAAATTATTCAAATTTATGCTCTGTGTCTAGCGTGCTGAATCCATCGCAAACTTTATAAATAAAATTCAAAACTTGCAAAGTTTCTTTTTGAAAATTTATCATTCAAGAAAAAATATTGTCCTACAAATTCAACACCAATGCATTTCCTTCTGAAGTGTCCAAAGCAATACATAAAACAAATAAATGAAAAGCAAATTTGCAATAAAACGGTCAATTTCATAATTTTATTATTAATGTTTTTTTATCATTGAGTCCCTGCTTAATAGTGTGAACAGAAGTGATGAGATTTTCTTGGCATTAAACTACAAAAGGAATTTTAAAAGTTGCTAGCGACATCCAAAAAACGATATAATAATAAATAATTGAGACAATATTTTGCTTTCTATTGTTGTGTGGGAAATATTTGACATATTCTTAACGACAAGACTACTAATGATACAATTATGATTGACGATCTATGAATGTGGTTGAGAGAGACCTTTGATTCAATCCGTGTGCATAAATGTCATGTGTAATGTAACTCAATTTTATACTTAAAGTTCAAAAATAAAAATTATGTGTACATAAACTCAGGAAACGAAGTTAATCACTAGACTTGTTTTAGAAATTAATTTCCATTTTCTGAGGATATTGTTTGCATTAACTAAATGAAGGCAAAAATTCATAAGCCACGAATATTTTCACTAGACATTCAAGTGCCTCGTTTTCTTCACGAAATTATTATTTCATCCATCATGCTAAGGAAAACAATGAAAAGCCTGAATTTCAATACCATCATCTTCATTTCCTTCATATTTTATGACATGGTACAAATGAAGGAATAAATTTCAAATCTTAAATTGAGAATCTCTTGTAAAAACATCTAAATCTAAAATTCTCATTTCATTCATATTCTTCGTGCGTATAGACGAGTGCTGCGTAAATTTTTTAATACAAAAGCTACAAGAATTTTATGATCCTTTGATCTTATCGTTTCAATTGTAGACATGTCTCGGAAATTCGTAGTGTGTACATAATGTGTAAGAGGAAATCAGGAATCTTCTATTTATGTATTCAGATTTAATAGCAATCATGCTGTTGTTCCATTGTATTCTGCAATCACATCTATGAATGCATCTAAAACTGAGAGTGAAAGTGAAGACGGAAATGTGATAACATGTGAATATTAAAAGAAAAAGAAAAATTACTATAATGTGTACATGCTTAGATTGTTACTTTTCCGTTTTGTTCTCTCATATCCATATTCATATCTCAAAATGAAAATAATTATGCTCATGTGGATGTACTTTTGCCAAAGTATCAGAGATTTGAACACGTTCAAACTGATTAAGACTTTTAAAAGTCCTTTTCTTCATATCATT